TACACTAGCAATCTTCCAGGCGGTATAAATATTGCTTTGTATTTTTCAGAAATCTTTTACCCAAGTCTGTGTTCATTATTTCTTGAAGATACTTAATTTGTTGTCACGGTCATACAGTATGTGCACTCTGTCACTGCTTGCCAAGGGAAGGCGTACTTTACACATTTCAAGTTAAGCGTAAGTTTCGTTCTCATTTCATGTATTTATTTTCCTCAGTGAAATGTATTTTTCTTTCCACTGGCCAGTTATGTGACCTGTTTCGGTTTTGTCTTCCTGGACTTATGTATTCTGGGTAATGCTGAGAATTACAGGAAGTAACGATGCTGATGTCATGTCAAAGGGATCAATAAAAGGAAATAACGGGATGAGATTCTGGGATGTGGTTCTGTGTGGCTCAGTTGGCATGGCGCTTGCAACCTCAGGAGCGTGGATTTGACTCCCGTGGGGGTCACCAATACAAAAATGTATGCAGGCATGACTAAGTTTGGATAAACGCGTCTGCTAAATGGCCTATATCAACCATATTCAATAGGCAGACCACGGACCGGACCCAGAAAGGGATCAAAACGGACCCCGGGAATTCGGTTGGGATTCAACTCCTGGTATCATATGAACACACATAAGACATGGAAACTGTGTAGAATAGCATGAAATTATCTTTAAAACGGCCAACTTTTCCCTTTGCTCCATGGCATTTGTGGAATTTCAGGAAATGAACTTTAAACTGCTTTTTTCTCTCTCTGCCAACAAGAGGGATGTGATCATCTTTGGGGTCACATGGGTTGCGAGGTGGGGGTTTGTTACTACGCCGATAAATGACAATATCCATCCGGACCATTGCCACCTAGGACATTTGTGTGACCGGACCTTCTCAAATAGTACTTGAGTACCCCTGCCTATGTATATATTCTATTTTTCTGTTTCACATAACGTCACATACATAGTCCTGTTTACCCTTTTCTCACCAGGATTTTTACATGACATTATGACCAAAGATATGGCTAGTGTGTTAACATGCATTAGACTTACACCCTCATTAGGGCTGACAGACCATATGACAAACCATATCCTGAGCTCGTTCTTTCTCCAAAATGAACCTTAGATTGTTCAGTAGCTTAATTTCCAATGATGACACACAGAATTAAGCAAATACTCCTAGCAGTTGGCATCTTCGTTATAGTCAGACGGAAGGCAGTACGTTTCTGGAATGCGTAGCTGTGAGTGGTTTGTCTCTTCTCTGAATTGTCTGGGGCTCAAGCTAAATGTTAGTCAGCTGAGGAAGACTTCATTAGAAAGCGCTCTCTGGGGTCACTACCCTTCATGTTTGGTTGACATGGCAGGGATGAGACTCTGCCTAACTCATACTGACACACGTAACGCCCACAGGTTGCAAGTATACGGCAGAGCCAATGTGTAGACTTAAAAAGGACACGAGGCCATGGAAACACATCACACAATTACAAAATATATAGTTTATTACACGGCTATTACACGGTTATTACAGTTTCAATAAAAAGGAAGCTTGAGTGGTTCGCATTTTGCCTAACGCAGGAGCCCAAAAATACTATGCAAGAGTAGACTTATTGCATTTAAGTCACATGGGTTAGATACACAAAGTAAAGTAGGTATAGCACAGCACTCAGGTTAGGTTCATTGGATACACATCACTCAGGTTAGGTTCAGTGAATACACATCACTCAGGTTAGGTTCAGTGAATACACATCACTCAGGTTAGGTTCAGTGAATACAACATCACTTCAGGTTAGGTTCAGGTGGAATACACATCACTCAAGGTAGGTTTCACAGTGATACCAGCACTCCAGGTTAGTTCAGTGGAATACACATGCAACTCAGGTTAGGTTTCAGTGGAATACACAGCCCCGGTTAGGTTCATGAATACAAACTCAGGTTAGGTTCAGTGGAATACACAGCTCAGGTTAGGTTCAGTGGGAATACACAGCACTCCAGGTTAGGTTCAGTGGAATACACAGCACTCAGGTTAGGTTCCAGTGGATACACATCACTCCGGTTAGGTTCAGTGAATAACCCAGCACTCAGGTTAAGGTTCAGTGGAATACACATCACTCAGGGTTAGGTTTCAGTGAATACACATCAACTCAGGTTAGGTTTCAGGTGAATACACATCACTCAGTTTAGGGTTTCAAGTGAATACACAGCAACTTCAGGTTAGGTTCAGTGGATACACAGCACTCGGGTTAGGTTCAGTGGATACACATCACTCAGGTTAGGTTCAGTGGATACACATCACTCAGGTTAGGTTCAGTGGATACACATCACTCAGGTTAGGTTCAGTGATACACAGCACTCAGGTTAGGTTCAGTGAATACACAGCACTCAGGTTAGGTTCAGTGGATACACATCACTCAGGTTAGGTTCAGTGAATACACAGCACTCAGGTTAGGTTCAGTGGATACACAGCACTCAGGTTAGGTTCAGTGGATACACATCACTCAGGTTAGGTTCAGTGGATACACAGCACTCAGGTTAGGTTCAGTGGATACACAGCACTCATGTTAGGTTCAGTGGATACACAGCACTCAGGTTAGGTTCAGTGGATACACATCACTCAGGTTAGGTTCAGTGAATACACATCACTCAGGTTAGGTTCAGTGAATACACATCAATCAGGTTAGGTTCAGTGAATACACATCACTCAGGTTAGGTTCAGTGAATACACATCACTCATGTTAGGTTCAGTGAATACACATCACTCAGGTTAGGTTCAGTGAATACACATCACTCAGGTTAGGTTCAATGAATACACATCACTCAGGTTAGATACAGTGAATACACATCACTCAGGTTAGGTTCAGTGAATACACAGCACTCAGGTTAGGTTCAGTGAATACACAGCACTCAGGTAAGGTTCAGTGGATACACAGCACTCAGGTTAGGTTCAGTGAATACACAGCCTTCATGTTAGGTTAATTGGATACACAGCAAACTAGCACAACAAATGTGAGGAAGCATTACAAAGTTGCAAAGTTAATCACAATAAGTACAACTATTAAAAACTAAACCTCTAGGCAAATGTAAAACATAGCCTTCCACTTTAAGAGTACACAGCATGAAATACAATCCAAACACAATGTGTTTTAGCTGGTTGGTCACCAAGTTGCCACACCACACAACAAACAATCCTCTTTACCTTAAAATCGCTTAACAATGAGAAACAACTCAAAATCACCCTTACGGGAGCACGGCACTTGTTTGGAAGCAGTAAAATGAGGAGAGGCAGCTGATGTAACGTTAGATTTGATCCACTTGGATCTGTCAAAGTTTCTCTGTTCTGGAGAGGAAGTCACTAATTCAGTGCTTAACTATTTAGATGACATTTGTATGTAGGCCTGTATATGTCTCGGTCTCTTCCTATGTCTCTGTCTGTATGAAGTTGGCCTGGTACCATAAATATCACACACATTAGTTTCCATTAACTGAGTGGCTGGGGGGATCAATGGGTTATCTAATGGGTTATCCAATACATATACTCAAAATATTTTAATCAGTAATTGCAGTTTGTGCATTAGCTTTCCATTTTAAATCTGAACCTATTAAAAACGATATATAAAATAGATCTGAATTTGATCATTCATTCCGTTTCTCATTTCTAGTTATTTAGTTCAAGAAAAGGACAGGGTACACACACACTCACACACAGACACTTTATGGTCTTGAGCCTAGAGATGAGCAGTAAGCGTGACGGCTGAGATGAGGGGAGTCAGATGTGGATGATGAATCTCAGTCATAAAGACTAGAGGCCCTTAGCCCACTGCATCTCCAACCAACCAATGAGCATCACAGGCCATTTCACTCTGCTCAGAGATCAATACCCCACATCTGTAGTTTCACAAACACACAAGCACTCATTCAGACACACACACTCTTATTAAATTGCATTTGGTTCTATCCATTCTATTTTGTGCAGACAGAGTTCTCTTATTTTGACACCAAAATGTCCTATCTTGAACCCTGTAGAACACTTGTCAAACTCATTCCATGGAGGGCCGAATGTCTGCGGGTTTTCACCTCTCCCTGGTACTTGATTGATTAATTAAGGTCACTAATTAGTCAAGAACTCCCCTCTCCTGGTGGTCTGTCTTAATTGAAAGGAACAAACAAAGAAACAGCAGACACTAGGCCCTCCATGGAATGAGTTTGACACCCCTGCTGTAAAAAGTAAGTCAGAGCCACCATGATGGGCCCCAACAACCCTAGTTGCACTCCTCCTCCTCTACTAGACATGGTTGGATAATTTATATCCGCCATTCCGGCTCTCGAGACGATATTTATGAAGTACATTACTGCATTTCTGTACGTGTAACTGCTGAGCGGCTGGGGCCATACGGCATCGATCTACCTCTGCCTTCCTGCCATCTACCCATCACGGTGAGACATGGGGAGAGAGGGAGAGAGTGATAGCCCCATGGCCTCAGACACAAATACATTTTCATTGCTGGTAAGGCTTGTTCTATACAATCCTACAGCACTGATAAAATATATATAGGGTGCTCTTTGACTTGCTAACAGATTGAACATCTACTACTGCCAACTAGTGGTCACATCAGTCATGACATCGTCCTGGAGGTGAGACTGGGGGACACTTAGAGGACACACGACTCACCACGAGAGAAGGAGGGGGGAGAGAGGGTAAGTGCCATGAAGAGACATGCAAAGACAGGCTGGAGGAGTGTTGAGAGCGAAAAGGGTGAGTGAGAGAGAGAGATGATAGAACGAGAGCGAGGCAACAGAGAGAGAGAAAGAGCAAAGGAGAGGAGCGAGGGAAGAGGAGGAGGGTTGTGTGTGAAAGAGAGAAAAAAACAGTTTAATTAGCAGCGATGGCTTTTATCAGATAACTCTGGTTTGAACAGCTAGGGATTTTAATTGTTTGCTGGCGGCAATAGACAGGCAGCATGACTAAGCTTTATAAGCATTATAACTGGGGAATAAACACTGGTCTCTGGTCTGCATGTGAGTGACAGGCTGGCTGGCTGGCTGGGCTGTGGGGTGGCAGGGGAGGCCAAGGGGGAGGGACGGGGAGAGGAGAATGAGAAGATGGAGAGGGGTGAGAGGTGTTAGGGAAGGTTCGGGAGCAAAGCTGTGTGTGATTGAACCAATGTCCATACTATCTTACTACACAATAAAAATATAAAGCGAAAATTGCACCATTTGAGAGTTAGAAGTGTGTTATGTGAGGGTTGATACTTTGCTGCCTCTCTTTTACCCTATTCAGAGAGAGTGATATGTTATGTGAGGGTTGTTGACTGCGACAAACTCTCCCACTGGCCACAAACATGAGACCACGCTGTCCTTTCAGCACCGCGGAGTGACTACCAGCATGTACCTGTCAGACGAACGCTGTCCATTCAGTGGTGCTGAAGGTTAATCATGAACGCATTCGCTAGAACCTCATTTGTACTTTCTCATTTTGCCATCGTTTGGTCGAGTTTGCTTTTATTTGCCATGCGTCCTTGTTGAATGTACGCAATATCATACCTGATGTATACATTTTATTTTAATGCATTCTGTCGATGTATCTGTCATTGTTTGCATTTACAGGTCAGCTGTTTAGTGCGCCGATTTCTTTCATTTTGATGTCGGCCTTATTGTAACACGATGGCCTTTTTACTTTAGTGGCTTTAATGTGTATGTTGTGTAGTGTCTTTGGAGTGTGATTAGAGCGGACCCTAGCTGGATTCCAGCAGCACTAGGCTGTAGATATTAATGCGCTAGCAGTACTAGGCTGCAGTAGGCTGTAGATATTTACAACGCTCCAGAGATGGAGGGGTATTTTTGGAGAGAAGCCGCCTGGAAGTGTATCTCTGGGCAACTAGCTTTTCCCCCACTTACCACCTTATTTAAGGAGAAGTCCAAATTTAAACGATACTGGGCTTGGATGTAAGAAGGGACCAGGAAAAAATGTGTTTGTATGTGTTTGTATGTGTAACTGGAAATAGAAAATAATACCCATTACAAGATTATAGGAAGGGTATGAATATTTCAGCTGCAGTGGAATTCTATTCCCTTCAACCTTCTAACCTCACCCCATCTTCTGCTTTTTAATCACTTCTCTCCTTCTTTCTATTCTTTTTTTTGCTCCACTTTTCCATCTCTTTGTTGTCCACTCATTGTGTATAATAAAGTAATGAGTCTTGAGGTTAGAAAGTTAGCAAAAATAGATAAGATCTTGCTACCATGGAAAGGTCTATTTGTGGAAAAATCCCCCTGATTAACTCTTTAATATTATCCCAGTTTACCTATTTGCTTATGGTCTTGCCTACACCTAGCGAACAGTTCTTTTAATTATATGAGAAAAAAAGATTCCATTTTATTTGGAACGGCAAACCAGGCAAAATTAAACGGGCCTATTTATATAATGAATATGAATTCGGAGGACAGAAATTATTCAATATTAAAGCATTAGACCTATCACTAAAAGCTTCAGTCATACAAAAGTTATACTTAAATCCGAACTGGTTCTCTAGCAAATTAGTAAGATTGTCTCACCCCATGTTCAAGAATGGCTTTTTCCCCTTTATTAAGATTACAACCTCTCACTTTCAGTTATTTGAAAAGGAAGTTCAGGAGTAAAAGCAAAGAAAATATAATTATTGTAAAATTGACTGTGTCCATAAAATGTATATAGTATGTATAAGCTGGAAGTAGAGGCCTAAGCGTTATTGTTCACTAGTTTACTCCAATTAGGGAAGGGGTGGTGGGGTTGGAAAGTAATAAAGGGAAATATATTTTTAAAAGGATATGTATATACAGTGGGGGAAAAAAGTATTTAGTCAGCCACCAATTGTGCAAGTTCTCCCACTTAAAAAGATGAGAGAGGCCTGTAATTTTCATCATAGGTACATGTCAACTATGACAGACAAAATGAGAAAAAAAATCCAGAAAGTCACATTGTAGGATTTTTAATGAATTTATTTGCAAATTATGGTGGAAAATAAGTATTTGGTCAATAACAAAAGTTTCTCAATACTTTGTTATATACCCTTTGTTGGCAATGACACAGGTCAAACGTTTTCTGTAAGTCTTCACAAGGTTTTCACACACTGTTGCTGGTATTTTGGCCCATTCCTCCATGCAGATCTCCTCTAGAGCAGTGATGTTTTGGGGCTGTCGCTGGGCAACACAGACTTTTAACTCCCTCCAAAGATTTTCTATGGGGTTGAGATCTGGAGACTGGCTAGGCCACTCCAGGACCTTGAAATGCTTCTTACGAAGCCACTCCTTCGTTGCCCGGGCGGTGTGTTTGGGATCATTGTCATGCTGAAAGACCCAGCCACGTTTCATCTTCAATGCCCTTGCTGATGGAAGGAGGTTTTCACTCAAAATCTCACGATACATGGCCCCATTCATTCTTTCCTTTACACGGATCAGTCGTCCTGGTCCCTTTGCTGAAAAACAGCCACAAAGCATGATGTTTCCACCCCCATGCTTCACAGTAGGTATGGTGTTCTTTGGATGCAACTCAGCATTCTTTGTCCTCCAAACACGACGAGTTGAGTTTTTACCAAAAAGTTATATTTTGGTTTCATCTGACCATATGACATTCTCCCAAACCTCTTCTGGATCATCCAAATGCACTCTAGCAAACTTCAGACGGGCCTGGACATGTACTGGCTTAAGCAGGGGGACACGTCTTGCACTGCAGGATTTGAGTCCCTGGCGGCGTAGTGTGTTACTGATGGTAGGCTTTGTTACTTTGGTCCCAGCTCTCTGCAGGTCATTCACTAGGTCCCCCCGTGTGGTTCTGGGATTTTTGCTCACCGTTCTTGTGATCATTTTGACCCCACGGGGTGAGATCTTGCATGGAGCCCCAGATCAAGGGAGATTATCAGTGGTCTTGTATGTCTTCCATTTCCTAATAATTGCTCCCACAGTTGATTTCTTCAAACCAAGCTGCTTACCTATTGCAGATTCAGTCTTCCCAGCCTGGTGCAGGTCTACAATTTTGTTTCTGGTGTCCTTTGACAGCTCTTTGGTCTTGGCCATAGTGGAGTTTGGAGTGTGACTGTTTGAGGTTGTGGACAGGTGTCTTTTATACTGATAACAAGTTCAAACAGGTGCCATTAATACAGGTAACGAGTGGAGGACAGAGGAGCCTCTTAAAGAAGAAGTTACAGGTCTGTGAGAGCCAGAAATCTTGCTTGTTTGTAGGTGACCAAATACTTATTTTCCACCATAATTTGCAAATAAATTCATTAAAAATCCTACAATGTGATTTTCTGGATTTTTTTCCCCTCAATTTGTCTGTCATAGTTGACGTGTACCTATGATGAAAATTACAGGCCTCTCTCATATTTTTAAGTGGGAGAACTTGCACAATTGGTGGCTGATTAAATACTTTCCCCCCCCCACTGTATGTATATGTATGTATGTGTATATGTATGTGTATGTATGTATATGTATATATACACTACCGTCCAAAAGTTTGGGGTCACTTAGAAATGTCCTTGTTTTCCATGAAATGAGTTTGAATTGGAAATATAGCAAAATGAATAGGAAATGTAGTCATTGACAAGGTTAGAAATAATGATTTTTAATTGAAATAACAATTATGTCCTTCAAACTTTGCTTTCATCAAAGAATCCTCAATTTGCAGCAATTACAGCCTTGCAGACCTTTGGCATTCTAGTTGTGAATTTGTTGAGGTAATCTGAAGAGATTTCACCCCATGCTTCCTGAAGCACCTCCCACAAATTGGATTGGCTTGATGGGCACTTCTTACGTACCATACGGTCAAGCTGCTCCCACAACAGCTCAATAGGGTTGAGATACGGTGACTGTGCCGGCCACTCCATTATAGACAGAATACCAGCTGACTGCTTCTTCCCTAAATAGTTCTTGCATAGTTTGGAGCTGTGCTTTGGGTCATTGTCCTGTTGTAGGAGGAAATTGGCTCCAATCAAGCACCGTCCACAGGGTATGGCATGGCGTTGCAAAATGGAGTGATAGCCTTCCTTCTTCAAGATCCCTTTTACCCTGTACAAATCTCCCACTTTACCACCACCAAATCACCCCCAGACCATCACATTGCCTCCACCATGCTTGACAGATGGCATCAAGCACTCCTCCAGCATCTTTTCATTTGGTCTGCGTCTCACAAATGTTATTCTTTGTGATCCGAACACCTCAAACTTCGATTCGTCTGTCCATAACACTTTTCCCAATCTTCCTCTGTCAAGTGTCTGTGTTCTTTTACCCATCTTAATCTTTTCTTTTTATTGGCCAGTCTGAGATATGGCTTTTTCTTTGCAATTCTGCCTAGAAGGTCAGCATCCCGGAGTCGCCTCTTCACTGTTGACATTGAGACTGATGTTTTGCGGGTACTATTTAATGAAGCTGCCAGTTGAGGACCTGTGAGGCGTCTGTTTCTCAAACTAGACACTCTAATGTATTTGTCTTCTTGCTCACTTGTGCACTGGGGCCTCCCGCTCCTCTTTCTATTCTGGTTAGAGCCAGTTTGCGCTGTTCTGTGAAGGGAGTAGTACACAGCATTGTACGAGATCTTCAGTTTCTTGGCAATTTCTCGCATGGAATAGCCTTCATTTCTCAGAACAAGAATAGATTGACGAGTTTCAGAAAAAAAGTTATTTGTTTCTGGCCATTTTGAGCCTGTAATCGAACCCACAATTGCTGATGCTCCAGATACTCAACTAGTCTCAAGAAGGCCCGTTTTATTGCTTCTTTAATCAGCACAACAGTTTTCAGCTGTGCTAACATAATTGCAAAAGGGTTTTCTAATGATCAATTAGCCTTTTAAAATGATGAACTTGGATTAGCAAACACAACATGCCATTGGAACACAGGACTGATGGTTGCTGATAATGGGCCTCTGTACGCCTAAGTAGATATTCCATTCAAAATCAGCCGCTTCCAGCTACAATAGCCATTTACAACATTAACAATGTCTAAACTGTATTTCTGATCAATTTGATGTTATTTTAATGGACAAAAATATGATATATATATTTGCGAGAAGAAAAAAAACATATGGGGGATTGGAAGTGATGCAGACAGTTACATTGATGGAAGTTGCAATCTATCTGCAATATTAAAGCTGATCTACCCCCCCCCCCCCCCCCCCCACCAAAAAAAGAAAACAAATCTAAATGAGTCTTGAGGTTCCCTGTGTACTTCTAGAGAATAAATATAGAGACTACACTGAGTGGACAAAACATTAGGAACACCTTCCTAATATTACATTGCCCCCCCACAGTTGTGTCAAGTTGGCTGGGTGTCCGTTGGGTGGTGGACAAGTCTTGATACACATGGGAAACTGTTGAGCGTGAAAAACCACTTAAATATTTTGTGTTCCATTTTTTTATTATACACTCTGTGTTTTTTCCTGTGTAGGTCAAGGATTTCCCAAAACCCCAGACAGAGAGAGGGATAGAGAGACAAGAAAGATGAAAGAATGAAAGGAGACACAATAGAGAAAGAATAGAGAAAGCAGCAGAGATAGCGTGAAACAAAGAGAGAAGGTAGAGAGATAAAAAGCATTAGAGTGCTGATGTGTATCAGTGAGGACAGTCCTGTCAGTGAGGCTCCTTTCTCTAAATGCCTTTGCCATTTTCCCTCTCTATCCGTCTCTGCCCACCCTCGCACCCTTGCCCTCGGGGTCCTTCTGCTGCGTCTGAGCTGTCTGGGGACGCCTGCTGTTTTAAACAAAATAATGGAGTGTGGGCCCGGCTGTGTGTGCAGAGGGAGCAGTAGAGTGTGTGTTTTTCCTGGCTTCGCCGTATAAAAATAGAAGCATTGGGATGTCACCTCGTGTTGCAGAGTATCCTGGCACCAGCTGACCCACACTGACCCATACTGACCCACACTGACCCACACTGACCCACACTGACCCATACTGACCCACACTGACCCATACTGACCCACACTGACCCACACTGACCCACACTGACTCATACTGACCCACACTGACCCACACTGACCCACACTGACCCATACTGACCCACACTGACCCACACTGACCCATACTGACCCATACTGACTCACACTGACCCACACTGACCCACACTGACCCACACTGACCCACACTGACTCATACTGACCCACACTGACCCACACTGAATACATACAGTGCACTCTTAGAAAAAAAGGTGCTAAGTAGAACCATATAGGGTTCTTCAGTTTGTTCCCATAGGGGAACCCTTTGTAGAGGGTTCTACCTAGAACCCTCCATGTAAGGTTCTACATAGAACCCTATTTATATGGTTCTAATTAGAACCCTATACGAAGGGCTCCACCAATAAACCTTTTATAATCTAAAGGTTCTTCCTAGAACCCCCTATGAATTGTTGCACCAGCCTTATTAGCCTTTAAAATTGAATTCTTTATGACATTACTTGATATACATTATATCATAAGGCCTCTCGTTGAGGAATCCAGACAGAGTTAGGATTTCCAAGACGTGGAATTTTTGATCACCCACAATCTGCATTCAGAATGACTGTCTGTCATGCCCTGATCAGTTTCACCTGTCTTGTGCTTGTCTCCACCCCCCACCAGGTGTCTCCATTTGTCACCATTATCCCTTGTGTATTTATACCAGTGTTTTATGTTTGTCTGTTGCCAGTTCATCTTGTCCCATCAAGTCCTACCAGCGTGTTCCTGTTTCCTGTGCTCTAGTTTTTGTTTTTCCTAGTCTTCCCAGTTCTGACCTTTCTGCCTGTCCTGACCCTGATCCTGCCTTCCGCCCTGTACCTGCCTGACTCTGATTTGGATTACGACTCTTTGCCTGTCCTTGACTTACCTTTTGCCTGCCCCTTGAACTGTAATAAACTCTGAGACTCGTACTATCCAGCTCCTGTGTCTGCATCTGGGTCTTAGCCTGAGCCGTGATAGTACGAACTGGCCATGACTGACCCAGCAGACTCGGACCAGCTCCGCGACGCTGTCTCCTCCCACGGAGCCACCATTGGAAGACACAAGGAGTTACTTCACAACCTTATGGAAAGATTCCAGACCTTGGCGGAATGGCACGACCGTGCTTTCCATACAGTGCTGGAGCAAATCCACAGATTATCTATTAGGCAGCCAGCCACTACTGTAATTCCACTGACTCTCAGCAACCCTGCCACCAGCGACACTTCTTCCCAGCCTACCCCGGTGTCCTGAGAACCTCGCTTACCTCCTCAAGAGCGCTACGCTGCAGATTCTGGAACCTGCCGGGCTTTTCTCTCCCAGTGCTCTCTCATCTTCGAGCTGCAGCCTTCTTCGTTCCCCTCAGACAGCTCGAAGATAACATACCTCATAACACTGATGTCCGGGAGGGCACTCGCCTGGGCTACGGCGGTGTGGGAGCAACAGTCCACTGTTTGCCTTAGTCTGGAGGAGTTTGTGGCGGAGGTACGAAAAGGGTTTGATTCTTCATTGTCCAGGAGAGAGGCTGCTTGTAAGCTGCTCCAACTACGTCAAGACTCCCATAGTGTGGCAGACTACGCGGTGGATTTTCGCACGTTGGCGGCTGAGAGTGCCTGGAACCTGGAAGCCCTGCTCAACACGTTTCTTCACGGATTATCGGAGGTGATTAAAGACGCGCTCGCAGCCCGGGAGCTGCCCATGGACCTCGACTCCCTCATATCTTTGACCATCCGGATCGATGGGCGGTTACGGGAACGTAGGAGGGAGAGGGAGTCTGTTCCCTATCAACCCTCGCTCGTCCTCGATTTCCACCTCGCCTCAGAGGAATCCCGGAAATCACCAAAGTCTACACTTCCGAGTGAATCCGATGTCACCAGAATTCTCTCGGAAATCACTGAGGGTTGCCGACTCACCTCCTCTGGAGCCTATGCAACTTGGCAGAGCTAGATTGTCTCCTGCCGAACGGTTAAGCAGACTGAACATCAAGAGCTGTCTGTATTGTGGGACTACAGGTCATTACTTTTCTACCTGTCCTGTAAAAAGACCTGGCTCATCAGGCGGTATGAGTAGGCTGGTGGGCATTACGGAGAATGTCCAGTCTCCCCTTACTAGTATCCCTTTCCATGCCATCCTGCTGTGGGGTGACTGGTCCAAATCTCTCCGGGTACTCATTGACTCTGGGGCCGATGAGAGTTTTATGGACGCTACCCTGGTGTCAGAGTTAGGGATCCCCACTCAAACCCTCTCCATTCCCATGGACGTCAGAGTGCTGAATGGGCGTTCTATTGGCAGAGTCACCCACAACACGGTTCCTATCAACCTGCGAGTGTCAGGCAACCACAGCGAGTCGATCCAGTTTGTACTTATCGAATCCCCTCAGGTACCCGTTGTGTTGGGGTTTTCATGGCTCCAGAGACACAATCCCCTTGTGGACTGGACTGTGGGTTCGATCAAAAAGGGTTGAAGCCCGTTCTGCCACGCTCATTGTCTGAAGTCGGCGCAGCCTGCCCCGGGACGTCTTCTTGTGGGCTTGTGTAAAGCTTCGGACCTCTCCGTCGTTCCTGCGGAATACCAGGACCTCCAGGAGGTTTGCAGCAAGGCCCGTGCCACCTCGCTTCCTCCGCATCGGCCATATGACTGCGCCATCGACCTTCTCCTGGGCACTACACCGCCTCTGGGGCGGCTTTATTCCCTTTCGGACACCAAGGTGATTGGAGACGTACATTGAGGACTCCCTGGCTGCAGGGTGTATCCGTCCTTCTGCCTCCCCTGCCGACGCAGGGTTCTTCTTTGTGGGGAAGAAGGAAACAACCCTGCGCCCATGTATCGACTACCGGGGCCTGAATAACATCACGGTTCCACTCATCGCCTCGGCTTTCGAGCCTCTCCAGGGGGCTACCATCTTCTCCAAGTTGGACCTCCGGAATGCCTACCATCTGGTACGGATACGGGAAGGGGACGAGTGGAAGACCACCTTTAACATGGCTAGTGGGTACTAAGAATACGTGGTGATGCCATTCGGACTGACCAACACTCCTGCCGTGTTCCAGGCCCTGGTCAACGATGTTCTCCGTGACATGTTGAACCAGTTCGTTTTCGTCAACCTCGATGACATTCTCGTTTTTTCCCGCTCGGCTCAAGAACATGTCCTCCATGTCCGACAAGTCCTCCAGCGTCTTCTGGAGAACCAGCTATTCGTCAAAGCAGAGAAATGGGAATTCCATTGCTCCACCATCTCCTTCCTTGGATGGATATATCATCGCTGCAGGCAATATACAGATGGATCCTGGAAAGGTGAGAGCGGCAGTGGATTGGCCTCAACCCACCTCCAGAGTGCAGCTGCAACGCTTCTTGGGGTTCGCCAATTTCTACCGCCGGTTCATCTGGGGTTACAGCACCCTGGCTTACCCCCTTTCAGCACTCCCCTCTCCCAAGATCCCATTCACGTGGTCTCCAGCTGCAGACCGGGCGTTCTTGGACCTCAAGCACCGATTCACGACCGCCCCCATCTTAATCCATCCAGATCCGTCCCGGCAGTTCATGGTCCCGGCAGTTCATTGGGGCATCGGCCAACCTGTCCTCCGGTTTTCACCCCCAATCTAACGGCCAGTCGGAGCGAACCAATCAGGACCTGGAGACAACTCTTCATTGCCTCGCCTCCGCCAACCCTACCACCTGGAGCCAGCAACTCGTGTGGGTGAAATACAACCTCAACATCCTTCCCTGCTCGGCCACTGGTCTCTTGCCGTGCGAGTGTTCCATGGGTTATCAGTCCCCGCTCTTCCCTGAGGAAGAGGTCAGCATACCTTCGTCCAGATTTTCGTCCATCGCTGTCGCCATACCTGGAAGAGAGCCCGGGCGGCTCTTCTCAAGACCACCTCCAGGTATCGACGACAGGCAGACCGCCACCGGAACCCTGCTCCCCGCTACCGTCTTGGACAGAGGGTATGGCTGTCCACTTGGGATCTGCCCCTCCGGGTGGTGTCCCGCAAACTTTCCCCCCTATTTATCGGCCCTTTCCCCTTCTCTAAGATTCTTAGCCCCTCTGCTGTTTGTCTCCTGTTGCCCCGCACCCTCCGTATACATCCCACGTTCCATGTGTCTAGAATTAAACCCCTGTCTCACAGCCCTTTGTCTCCTGTTTCCAGGCCCACCCCTCTCCCCCGTCTCAACGACGGCCATGTGGCATACACGGTGAGGCGTCTCCTGAGTGTTCGACCTCGGGGCAGGGGTTTCCAGTACCTGGTTGACTGGGAGGGTTATGGCCCGGAGGACAGGTGCTGGGTCTCCGCTAGGAACATCCTGAACCCATTGTTGAGTTCCGCCGCCGGCACCCCGGTCAACCAGGTATGTACCCGGGTAGGACGCCAGGTGGCGTCCTTAGAGTGGGGGGCTACTGTCATGCCCTGATCTGTTTCACCTGTCTTCCTAACAGATTGGTTTAGTTAAAATGTTTTATGTTATTTATCTTTGTGTAGCATAAAATTAATCAACCATGCAAAAACACATTAAAACAAACAATTCTGAAAATCATCCTGCAATAGAGGATGCTGGGAAATATTATATTGGTTCTATGTAGAACCCTTCTTGCCTTCCAAAGAAACATCAAAGAACCCTTTCTTCCAAAAATGGTTCTTAGGATATTAAAGGTTCAAAATTTAGGTAGAACTCTTTGCCTTACAAAGAACCCTTGTCTTCCAAAAAGGGTTCTTCAGATCAAAATAGTTATTGGTAGAACCCTATCCCTACGCAAAGAACCCTTTTGGAACCCTTTTTTCTAAGAGTGTAGGTATCATAAGTACTCACCCCCCTTATATTGATCTGTGCGCTGTTGTATCGGCGTTCGTGCTACGTGTTACTGTACATTGTATTATGGTTTACATACCGTGTCATTGTGCACTTGTTTTTACGGGTCTCGTCCCGTGTATTATTTAGAGGTTTACACCTCGCTCTTTTGTTTGGGTTACATCCCTGTGTTATATATATACGTGTTTGTTTTGGGCTTCGTCCCTGTTGTTTTTCATGGCGTACCTTATGTTGGGGAGAGAAATAAAAAAAACTATTAGGTATTCCTGCGCCTGTCTTCTATCAGTATACAACGTGACACCCTGGTCTTTGTAGTTGAATCTGTGCTTGAAATTCCATACTTGACTGAGGGACCTTGTATGGGGGGCAGAGGAAAGGTTAGTCATTCATAAATCATGTCAACCCCTATTATTTCACACAGAGTGAGTCCATGTAAATTATTATGTGATTTGTTACGCCACATTTTACTCCTGAACTAATTTAGGCTTGCCTAAACAAAAAGGGTGAATACTTTTTCAACAACTATATTTTAGTTATTACATTTTTATTAATTTGTAAACGTTTGTAGAATTGTATTTTCACTTTGACATTATAGAGTATTTTGTGTAGATCAGTGACTAAAAATCACAACTAAATCCATTTCAATCCCAATTTGTCACGTAACAAAAAAATCCAAGGGGGGTGAATACTGCCGATACCCACTGTACATCCTCTATGGAAGGTCTCAGTCCTGCTCCTGCTCTTCTAACTAACCCCTCTTCTTGTCTACTTTTCCATCTCATTAAACTCTTGTTCCTGATCTCTGTTTGTGTCTGTCTTTTTCGCCTGCTCGGAGCGCTGAGATGTGCTTTAGCTAACGTGTATAGGGTAAATACAGACTTACCCTCGTCTTAGTAAGACAGAGCAATCTGATGTTGGCATGCAAACACACACACACACTGTTCCCCTCATTGCCAATGACCGTCACGAGGCATTGAATGGTCAGTGATACGAAAGGCTCTTTCTAGGGTTGATTAACACACGATTGAAATTAAACGGTTAAAATTCATTAAGCAGACCATGAGATTCAGGTCTCATCCTCACCAGACTGGAATACATGCCCTAAAACCTTAATGTTGGGTTCTAATTGAAACCTTCTGGGAGATTTTGAAGAATAGAATCTCAATGTATAGAATTGAAGAAATTAAGGTCCTCCCAAGTGGTGCGGCGGTCTATGGCACTGCATCGCAGTGTTGCGGTGTCACTACAGCCTGTGGTTCGATCCCACTGTGTCACAACCAGCTGTGACCAGCTGTGACCGGGAGTCCGATAGGGTGGCACACAATTGGCCCAGCATCATCCTGGCTAGGGGAGGGTTTGGCCTGGGGGGCTTTACTTGGCTCATCGCACTCTAGCAACTCCTTGTGACAGGCCAGGCGCCTGCAGGCTGACTTCGGTCGTCAGTTGAACGGTGCTTCCTCCGACACATTGGTGCAGCTGGCTTCCGGGTTAAGTGGGCGGGTGTTAAGAAGCGCGGTTTGGCGTGTCACGCATGACTCGACCTTCCGAGTTGCAGCGATGAGACAAGATCGTAATCACGAAATTGGATAGAAAAAGGGGGTAAAAATTACAAAATAAATAAATCATTACATATAGAATTGAAGAAGTTAGATCCTTCCAGTATATTCTGCCTGGTGCCTGTGTTCAGTATGAAGATTAAACAGACATGGGATGCCTGTGTGGAGATAGCTCTCCCAGGATAGGGTGAAAATTAGAAGGAAAGAGTGACAGAAAGAAGGTGAAAGATGGAGAGCGACATAATAGTGAGAGGTAGAGAAGGAATGAGTGACAGAAAGAGAGGGGGAGAAATGGAGAGTGGGTGTGTGAGAGAGAAAGCATGAGGAAGAGAAAGGGAGATGACAGTGTTTATCCTCAGTTAGAATGCCCATGGGAGAGAGAGTCCTCAGTGTTACTCTGAGTCTGCCTGAATACAAGGAAACTCTCCACAAATAGACACTCTGTCACATTGAAGAAAATCATTGAGACGTTTTTATTCTTCTGTTATTTTTTTTCTCTTGTACTGGAGGTGTAGTCTTTTCAGAACCATTTTAACATTTGATGGTGGGGTGGGTGGTCTCTCTCTCTCTCGCTCTCTCTCTCTTTCTCACTCTCTCTCTGCCTACCCCCTCTTTCTCTCTCTCTGTCTCTCTCTTACTCTTTCTCTTGCTCTCGCTCTGTCTGTCTACCCCCCCCCCCCCCCCCCCCTCCTCTCCGTCTGTCTACAGAACTTTAACCCTTACCCCTTTAGGACTCCGACCGTGAAGGCCAGAGTTGACACAACGCCCAAGAATGAAACTAATTGAGCACAATGGATTGAGCTCTTAACTCTGTCTTTAATCTCAGGAGCATGACCTATAAAATGTGAAGATGACTCATGCTTTACTTTCTCCATTTCTAACCATAGTACCAGTGTAAATAACTCTGTGTCTTGATCATTACCTGCCAAAGGCGTCATTCATCCTTCATGTTATTTATGTGACGTGAAACGTGTTTCCTCTGAAATGTATGGTAAATAAAAACAGACGGCCTGCCAGAGGAGTGTCCTTGGTAAACTACACAAGAGACCCCATGGAGAGATGGAGAGAAGGAGGAGGAGGAGGAAGAGGAGGAGGAGGAGGAGGAGGTGGAGGAGGACGAGGAGGAGGAGGAGACGGGATGATAGAGGGGTGTGGCGCAAATGACACCTTATTCCCTATGTAGTTCACTACTATTATAGGACGAAAACATGGACTGTCGTCTGGTATTACATCTAACCTCACCGGGAGTGATGAGGGAAGTCTGTACACACTGTCAGGAGTGGGCTGTACTGTAATTCAAAACAAGATGTGTTGACTTGAATTGCACACTGACTGGCTGTATTCCAGCAGTCTCAACCCCTCTCTGGAGCCCCTGACTGATCGGGGAACAGTTGTTCAGAAGGAAGACCTGCTCCGTACCCATCGTCTATCACCACATCCACCCGACCCACAGAACTTTATGACCATGAACAATTCAAACATCACATGGGGCCAGAACACCCACTCTAGCAGAGGTCAGAGATAAAGCTCTTTATTATCCTTGATTGTTTTTATAATCAAGGATATATAATCATTGATGTTTATAAGCGAATACATACATGTATCTATAAATATCTTATAAGCCTAACATATTGTTGTGAGATGAACAGTAGACATGTGTGCGTATGCATGTGTGTGTGTGTGGACTGTGGTTGTAGGGGTGTGCACACTGTGTGTGTGTGTGTGTGTGTGTGTGTGTGTACTGTGTTTATTTACAAGCTCAGGGTAATAGCTGGGGGTACATACCCATTTATGCAAAGGTAAGCTGATTAGAGAGGAGAGGACAGCATGGTGGGGGACATAGACTCACAAAAACCTCCTTTACACAAACTTTCTCTGCTCTCCCAGCTGCTGGGTCATGCCACCAATTAGGTGCATTTTGAGTAGTGTAACTTGGTGAAAACTGAAAATGTCCAAAAAGAGTAGAACCAGCTTACCTGCTTTTACACTATGATTTGACTATTAGATGTTCAATTTCTCTTTTGAAAAATATATTTAAAAAGGAATAGTTTCACCATATTAAAACGAGAGTTCAGTTCACGTAACAGGGTTGGCCTTAATGAGGGACAGGTTTCTTTTTCTTAAAATGAATCACTAATAAAATGAAATAAATAATAATCTTCAGAAATTACTTTGTCAAAGTAACAAAATAACTAGGGATTTACAATGATAGTGAAAACTTTGAGAAATGTTAGGGTTAAGTAGGTTAAAATCTTTCTTCACTGAACAAAAAATATAAACGGAACATGCAACAATTTCAAATATTTTACTGAGTTACAGTTCATATAAGGAAATCAGTCAATTGAAATAAATTCATTAGCCCCTAATCTATGGATTTCACATGACTGGGAATACAGATATTCATCTGTTGGTCACAGATACCTTTAAAAAAAGGTAGGGGCGTGGATCAGAAAACTAGTCAGTATCTGGTGTGACCACCATTTGTCGCATAGAGTTGATCAGGCTGTTGATTGTGGAATGTTGTCCCACTCCTCTTCAATGGCTGTGCGAAGTTGCTGGATCTTGGCAGGAACTGGAACACCCTGTCATACACGTCGATCCAGAGCATCCCAAACATGCTCAATTGGTGACATGTCTGGGTAGCATACAGGCCATGGAAGAACTGGCACATTTTCAGCTTCCAGTAATTGTGTACAGATCCTTGTGACATGGGGCCGTGCATTATCTTGCTGAAACATGAGGTGATGGCGGTGGATGAATGGCACGACATTGTGCCTCAGAACCTCGTTACGGTATCTCTGTGCATTCAAATTGCCATCGATAAAATGCAATTGTGTTCGTTGTCTGTAGCTTATGCCTGCCCATACCATAACCCCACCGCCATCATGGGGCACTCTGTTGACAATGTTGACATCAGCAAACTGCTCGCCCACAAAATGCGATACACACTGTCTGCCATCTGCCTGGTACAGTTGAAACTGGGATCCATCCGTGAAGAGCATACTTCTCCAGAGTGCCAGTGGCCATCTAAGGTGGGCATTTGCCCACTGAAGTCGGTTATGACGCCGAACTGCAGTCAGGTCAAGACCCTGGTGAGGACGACGAGCACGCAGATGAGCTTCCCTGAGACGGTTTCTGACAGTTTGTGCAGAAATTCTTCGGTTGTGCAAACCAACAGTTCATCAGCTGTCCGGGTGGCTGGTCGCAGACGATCCCGCAGGTGAAGAAGCCGGATGTGAAGGTCCTGGGCTGGCATGGTTACACGTGGTCTGCGGTTGTGAGGCCGGTTGGACGTACCACCAAATTCTCTAAAATGTTGTTGGAGGCGGCTTATGATAGAGAAATTAACATTAAATTATCTGGGAACAGCTCTGGTGGACATTCCTGCAGTCAGCATGACAATTGCACGCTCCCTCAAAACTTGAGACATCTGTTGCATTGTGTTGTGTGACAAAACTGCTTATTTTAGAGTGGCCTTTTATTGTCCCCAGCACAAGGTGCACCTGTGTAATGATCATGCGGTTTAATCAGCTTCTTGATATGCCACACCTGTCAGGTGGATGGATTATCTTGGCAAAGGAGAAATGGTCACTAACAGGGATGGTAACACATTTTTGCAAAACATTTTAGAGAAATAAGCTTTTTGTGTGTATGGAACATTTCTGGGATTTTTTATTTAATCTCATGAAACATGGGACCAACACTTTGCATGTTGCGTTTACATTTTTGTTCAGTGTAGAAGTCACAGAGGGACATGTCAAAATGCTGAATTTCGGCACTTTAGCAAGTCTTTATTTATATAAAAAATCTGATTTATTGAATTCTCCATGTGGTCTATATTAAATGTCACTTCATGTAATATAACAGGCTTTTGAAATGCAATATTTTTGCACAATTTCTACTTCAAATATCAAAGGGATGCAAAAGGAACTCATTTCGTGGAACGACCCTGCTGCTATCTGCCTCCAACAGTACAGCTCAGTACAGCACAGACACACATGCCCAACTACTCCATCACCTACAAAACGAAACTATCCAAAATGTCTGGCTAAAAGTCTAGCTAAATGTCTGTCTAAATGTCTGGCTAAAAGTTTGGCTAAATGTCTGGCTAAAAGTCTGTCTAAATGTCTGGCTAAAAGTCTGGCTAAATGTCTGGCTAAATACAGCAGAGTGAAAGGATTACGTATAAGTATGTGGACACCGGCTTGTCAAATATCTCATTCCAAAATCATGGGTATTAATACGGAGTTGGGCCTTCCTTTGCTGCTGTAACAGCCTCGACTCTTCTGGGAAGGCTTTCCACTAGATGTTGGAACAATGCTGCGGGGACTTGCTTCCATTCAGCCACAAGGGCATTAGTGAGGTTGGGCACTGATGTTGGGTGATTAAGCCTGGCTCGCAGTCGGCGTTCCAATTCATCCCAAAGGTGTTCGATGGGGTTGAGGTCAGGGATCTGTGCAGTCAAGTAGAGTTCTTCCACATCGATCTCGACAAACCATTTCTGTATGGACCTCGCTTTGTGCACGGGGGCATTGTCATGCTGAAACAGGAAAGGGCCTTCCCCAAACTATTGCCACAAAATTGGAAGCACAGAATCGTCTAGAATGTCATTGTATGCTGTAGCGTTAAGATTTCCTGTCACTGGAACTAAGGAGCCTGAACCATGAAAAACTGCCCCAGACCATTATTCCTCCTCCACCAAACTTTACAGTTGGCACTATGCATTGGGGCAGGTAGCATTCTCCTGGCATATGCCAAACCCAGATTTCAGATGGTGAAGCGTGATTCATCACTCCAGAGAACGCATTTCCACTGCTCCAATGGCGGCGAGTTTTACACCACTCCAGCCGATGCTTGGCATTGCGCGTGATGATTTTAGGCTTATGTGCGGCTGCTCAGCCATGGAAACCCATTTCATGAAGCTCCCGACGAACAGTTCTTGTGCTGACGTTGCCACCAGAGGCAGTTTGGAATTCGGTGATGAGTGCTGCAACCGAGGACAGACAGTTGTTACGCGCTATGCACTTCAGCACTTGAAAGTCCCATTCTGTGAGCTTGTGTGGCTTACTACTTCGCGGCTGAGCCGTTGTTGCTCTTAGATGTTTCCATTTCACAATAACAGCACTTACAGTTGACCGGAGCAGCTCTAGCAGGGCATACATTTGGCTAACTGACTTACATTCAGTACGGGCCATTCCAATGTTTGTCTATGGAGATTGCATGGCGGTGTGCTCAATTTTATACACCTGTCAGCAACGGGTTTGGCTGAAAGAGCCGAATGGGTGTCCACATACTTTTGGCCATGTAGTGTATTAGGTGGTATCAAACACTAAAGCTAATATGTATGACTGTATAAAGTGGAGCTCATATTCAGCATATACTGCACCTTGCCTCTGTAAGTAGTGCGATAGAGCCACACAGCGCTGCATTATCCTCCAGGACTCTGCTAGTCAGAAGTTACTAAGTAATATATTTAGCTGTCTGATCATTGTTATGCGTGCAAAATCAATTAAGTGTCTAAATAGGTCATTTACAGCCCAGCAGTCAGTTGTGTGTGTATGTGTGTGTGTGTGTGTGTGTGTGTGTGTATAAGTGTGTAATGTGAGCGAATATGTAGTCTACTATGAATGAGCGTGTATCTAATCCATAGATTTATATATACAGATCTAATCCCTTATTAAGACAAAAACCATAGAGTGGGGGACATGATGATGCCCTATACTCTATGGTGCTTTTTCTGTGACCAGGTCATCTTATTTAGCTGGCAGGAGGAACAGGAGGAATAGGAGGCACATTTATACTGTCCAATTAACCAGCCAGGTCATGACAAACACAGAGACCATACCTCTCGGTTACTCACTCCCTGTTATACTAATGAGAGAGCGAGCGCGAGAGCGAGCGCGAGAGGGAGGTTACCTGACATGACCTACCTTGGCTGTGTCCTCTTTTGCATGGATCAGGTGTTCTGATGAAGCCTGGATTCAGATAAAGGGAAACAACCAGGTACAGCAGTGAGCACCTGCACGAGACATGGTAACAGGCACGAGACAACAACAATAAGTGAAACAATTAACCCTAAATGAATGATGAAAAAGTCGGGAGTGGCGGTGCGCGCAACCATCCTGTCTGAACGCACGGCACGACACGTAACCTATACCTTAGCCTACAATGGGTTTTGATGTGTTGTAACTTTTCTTAGAGCTATCCTGTGATAACAATAGTAGGCTTTATTGTTCATGTTTATATAACTGTTTATATATCTAGAATTACTACCTCATGAAAAAAACACGGGCGCGTGAGGTTGCGCCCGAGGTGGGGGCGGGACAAGCCGAAGTTCTCAATTTCGGAGAGCGCGCGCTGACATCAACCTCCCCATGCGCAGTGCCCAGAAAAATGTATCTCTAAATTTTCCCAATCGACTCCTGCTGTGTGTTTACCAAATAGTCCTACTTCTTATATAAAAGACATTCCCAGTACACGGAGGTGTAGATGAATCCTTCCGGAATAGTCACCGTGGTTCTTCTGCTCGTGGTCTTGACAGCGCAAGGTAAGAGAAGAGAAGCTTTATGAAGACGTGCGGATGTCGGAGAGTTTGGGGAGCGCTGAACCAACTCACAATAGGAGAGAGCTGAACGCTACTGCAGACTTCACATAGTATAATTTTGGCTAGGCTATTCATTACACAGATACATCAATTGTTAAGCCTATTTATGTGTGTTCTGTCTCATTGTAAACAGTTTGCGTTGTTGGTGGGGTGTTCCTTCTGATTGTGAGACGCACTAGACACCCCGTCTTTCTATCCGCAGCATATCACATAGGAAACTTTGCCAACATCTTCCGACAGAAATTCACGAAATACATTGTAAAGATTGCTGTGTTGGCATGTTTAAGCTTTTCAACCAAAGTAATTGTCTTTGCGTGCGATTCTGTGATAGCCTAACTTGGAGAATAAACTAAACCCCATAAATATATATTTTTTTATAGGCTACAAAAGTAGGTCAAAATCGCAGCGCTATCTATTCAGATGAACATAATATAACGGTATGCCTAGGCTACGGTTCGTTATCCCAGGGGATGAGCAGTGCTGGTGACATGTCACATCATTAGTATACTATACAGTAGGCCTACGTCAGCCATCGAGCTACCGTAGACAACAGCACCGCGTGCATTCACGCGCACGTAACATATGAGTTCTGTTTTTACCGCATACATGTCCATTGATTCGTATATGCGTGCTGAGTGCATTACTGACGTATCAGTTCAGCCGTGTCTCTTCAAAACAGATGGAACGTGATAAAATAAATGACAACAATAAGCTTTATGCTTCCAAACCAAACTAAGCTGCATGTAGCCGAACCTAGCCTTGAACATTGTGCATCATACACACATCGGGTTTGTCTATACCTTGAGTAAATATAACGGTCCATTCCAGAGCTGTGGTTAGACTGACATGGTCATGTAATCTGGGCTGTCTGGGTTGAGGAACACCTACATCTCATCCGATGTCTCTGCATTCTATAGGCCTATGTCTGTTCTGTTCTGTTCTCTTCTACTCTAACTTTATTGTTCCGTTATGTTCTGTTGTTCTGTTTAGCCACAATGCAGTTCCACTCTGTTCTCTTCTCTCCCGTGTCACAACGTTCTGTTGTTTGTTCTCATCTCGGTGCCCAGGGCTGGTTCTGGTTCTATCCGTCTCTCAGTGTGTTTTTGTGTGTCTTTCTCTCTCTCACACTGTGTGTGTGTGTGTGTGTGTGTGTGTGTGTGTGTGTTTATGTAAGACCCTTCCTCTAAGACCCTCATCCTCGTGGGTTGGTTAAGGCGTTCTGACCCTGTGTGTGTGTGTGTGTGTGTGTGTTCCTAACCTGCTCCCTACAGACTTCCCAGGGGACAGGGGCTAAGTGCCTTACAGTCCCACCAAATATATTTATAACTAACTCAAGATACTGTAGTTCATCTGTGTCGTTTACAGTGGGAGCAAATGAAGCATAGTGGGCAGAACAAGCAAGGAGGTGGGCAAAGCCAAGCACAAGCTTGCGAGATCCTGTTGGCGCGTTGTAGCATGTATTTGCGTATTTCCGTTAGGGAACACCTCCTCTGTGAAGTGCGCGTGTGCATTCGACCTTGCACTCCTTCTAAAGCACAAAGCACTTTTTTTTTTTTTACTTTGGCAATGCCTCAAGTCTATAAAACTTAGTGCACTGTGTTCGTAACAGATTCTAGTTTTGGGAACATCAACATTTATTGAGATCAGATGTTTCATTGATGAGAAAATTTGCAGAATGTTGGACCAGTTTCACCTAGTTCCATCCTCTCCCACTACCCGCGACTGGACTTCCTCTCACTACCATATTTGGTGGTGAGAAAACTTTCTAAACCAATGCTTCAGCTTTATAGCCCCTGTGCCTTGTCTGGGTGTACACTTCTGTCGGTGGTCCCACTGTAGCAGCCTGTGAGAGACTGGGACTCACAACTCTCTCTAATGGTGAGAGAGTTGTGAGTCCCAGGGGCGGCAGGTAGCTTAGTGGTTAAGAGCGTTGTGACAGTAACCGAAAGGTTGCTGGTTCTAATCCCCGAGCCGACTAGGTGAAAAATCTGTCGATGTGCCCTTGAGCAAGGCACTTAACCCTAATTGCTCCTGTAAGTCACTCTGGATAAGAGCGTCTGCTAAATGACAAAAAAAATATGATAAATGGAGTCATGAGAAGAAGGTCTCTGTAAAACCACCAGGGTTTACTTCACCTATTGTCCTTGACCTGTTCTGGACAGGTGCATGACAGATATGGTGTTATTATAAAACTTTGCCAAGTGGTTTACGGTAATATACTTTTTCTAGGCTATCCAACTGGCATCAAATTGTCCAGATTACAATAGAACCTAAAAGGGCCTATTGCAACCATTGTTGGTCACCGTATGTATTATCTCCAGTTGATCTCTCGTCAAACTATCAATACCCGCTAAGATCACCCACACAGATGATCTCAATTGCTTCCAAATGTTCCAAGACATGTTCGCCCTCTACAGAGTAGTTTCTTGAGTGTGAATAAAACCTAGTAATCTAGCAGACTAAGGAGTGATTGAACTATTTGTCAGTCATTCAGTACAATGTGGTCCTCTGTAGCTCAATTGGTAGAGCACGGCGCTTGTAACGCCAGGGTAGTGGGTTCGATCCCTGGGACCACCCATACGTAAAAATGTATGCACACATGACTGTACGTCGCTTTGGATAAAAACGTCTGCTAAATGGCATATTACTATTATATTTACAACGGAAATACTATTATTTCTCAGTAATTTATTGAGTAAACAATAGTGAAGAACCCAGTAGATAAATATGCAGTGTGTATAAACAGTGTAACAAAATGCAATGTACATTAGTAGATATATTAGAATGAGCTATGTGAGTATACGGTATATGAATACCCAGTGTGAAAAACAGTAAAAATAAATAAAGGGAAGTGTCCAGTGTTTAATGTCTATTTACATGGGACAGCAGCGTTGGCTGTGTGTGAGTATGGGCTGATGCGTGTATGTATGTGAGTCTATACGTGAGTACAGGAGTCTGCTTGTGTGTGAGCTTGTGTGTGTGTGTGTGTGTGTGTGTGAGAGTCTGTCTTTGTCTCCTACTACAGGAGATTGCATGATGGCTGTTCAACAGTCTGATGGCCTGGAGATAGAAGCTGTTCAACAGTCTGATGGCCTGGAGATAGAAGCTGTTCAACAGTCTGATGGCCTGGAGATAGAAGCTGTTCAACAGTCTGATGGCCTGGAGATAGAAGCTGTTCAACAGTCTGATGGCCTGGAGATAGAAGCTGTTCAACAGTCTGATGGCCTGGAGATAGAAGCTGTTCAACAGTCTGATGGCCTGGAGATAGAAGCTGTTCAACAGTCTGATGGCCTGGAGATAGAAGCTGTTCAACAGTCTGTTGGCCTGGAGATAGAAGCTGTTCAACAGTCTGATGGCCTGGAGATAGAAGCTGTTCAACAGTCTGATGGCCTGGAGATAGAAGCTGTTCAACAGTCTGATGGCCTGGAGATAGAAGCTGTTCAACAGTCTGATGGCCTGGAGATATAAGCTGTTCAACAGTCTGATGGCCTGGAGATAGAAGCTGTTCAACAGTCTGATGGCCTGGAGATAGAAGCTGTTCAACAGTCTGATGGCCTGGAGATAGAAGCTGTTCAACAGTCTGTTGGCCTGGAGATAGAAGCTGTTCAACAGTCTGTTGGCCTGGAGATAGAAGCTGTTCAGTCTTTCGGTCCCGGCTTTGATGCTTATTCATTGGGGGGCATGAGTAGAGAACCTAGACACAGCCGTCTGGTATTAAACTCGCTTGAGATTAACTGATCTGCTGGTTTATTCTTGTGGGTTTTTGGTTGCAAGCAAGTTTAGTCTTAACACGCATGTGGATGCAATCTCCCGTTAGTAGCATTTTAAGCAATACAGTGCTTATACACAGATGCAAGTTCTGCCTGTTGGTTGCAATGGGCCAAATCAAATAGCTTAATCTTCACCAACCCTTTCCAAACCCTTACACCCAGCTCCAGTCTTACGTCTGGACCCTTGCAAAGCAGTGCTGTGTTTCTCCCACAACCCGTACAGTAAAACTGCTGCCCAACTTGCCTTTTCATGGTGTGTGTGTGTACATGAGTTTGTGTTTGTGTACTAGCGACTCAAAGGCTTGAGGATCCTTGTAACACGATTGCTGTGTGATTATTGCTTGGCACTTTGGTTTTAGACACACACACACACAGGGCAGGCAATGTTAAGTGGATCTCGTGCAGATTGTGCAAATTTGGACTCATCAGACCAAAGGACCGATTTCCACCAGTCTACTGTCCATTGCTCGTGTTTCTTGGCCCAAGCAAGTCTCTTCTTCTTATTGGTGTCCTTTAGAAGTGGTTTCTTTGCAGCAATTCGACCATGAAGGCCTGATTCACAGTCTCCTCTGAACAGTTGATGTTGAGATGTGTCTGTCTGGTCTGCAATCTGAGGTGCAGTTAATTGTCGATTTACGAGGCTGGTAACACTAATGAACTTATCCTCTCCAGCAGAGGTAACTCTGGGTCTTCCTTTCCTTTGGCGGTCCTAATGAGAGCCTGTTTCATCATAGCGCTTGATGGTTTTTGCGACTGCACTTGATGAAACTTTCAAAGTTCTTGAAATCTTCCGGATTGACTGACCTTCATGACTTAAAGTAATGATTGACTGTTGTTTCTCTTTGCTTATTTGAGCTGTTCTTGCCATAATATGGACTTGGTCTTTTACCAAATAGGGCTATCTTCTGTATACCACCTCTACCTTGTCACAACACAACTGATTGGCTCAAACGCATTAAGAAGGAAAGAAATTCCACAAATTATCTTTTAACAAGGCACACTTGTTAATTGAAATGCAGTCCAGGTGACTACCTCATGAAGCTGGTTGGGAGAATGCCAAGAGTGTGCAAAGCTGTCATCAAGGCAAAGGGTGGCAACTTTGAAGAATCTCAAATATAAAATATATTTGTTTAACACTTTTTTGGTTACTACATGATTCACTATTATTCTACAATGCAGAAAATATAAAAATAAAGAAAAACCCTGGAATGAGTAGGTGTGTCCAAACTTTTGACTGGTACTATACATTAATGAATCATGATGCATACGCCACGTTCTTGTCACACACATTTGTGAAGTCTGTAGATTCTGTTGTGCGTTGCAGTTCTGACTATCCAGATTACAAAAAAGTATCTAGTACCTAAAAGGGTTCTTCAGCTGTCCCCATAGGAGAGCCCTTTAAAGAACCCTTTTTGGTTCCAGGTAGAACTCTTTTGGTTCCAGGCAGAACCCTTGCGGGTTCCATGTAGAACAATGAGGGTTATACATGGAAGTCAAAAGTGTTCTTCCTGGAACCAAAAAGGGTCCTACCTGGAACCAAAAATAGTTATCTCATGGGGACAGCGAAGAACCCTTTTTGGAACCCTTTTTTCTAAGAGTGTACATCTCCTGTGGAATCCCATCCAAGTACGCTGACGTTCACGTGTCTCTGAGTGTGTGTTCATCTGTGTCTGCGTGTGTGTGTCCCTGGTGTGGGGCAGTTGGAGTGTGAGAGGTTCAGTGGAATTTTTAGTAACAGGGAATGGCGTTTTTGTTGTTGTTAGAGATACGCCATAAACTCCTGATGACCTCAGGTAGCAAGGTTGCTAAATAGTTGGCTAGCAGACATCAGCATCAGCTCCTCACTGTGGCATTCTGCATGCAACAGGGGAGCAGATGGGAGCAATATGGGAAGTATGGTAATCAAGGGTGGATGGATAGAGAGGCCACACGTGAATGTGCGCACACACTCTCATTCCTCAGGTGAATCATAAAGCATGTCCCAGACAGCCCCAATGTAACACTCTGACAACAAACGCTATCTCCTCTCTTCTTTCTCTCTCTCTCTCCCTCCCTCTTTTTCCCCTTCTCTCACTCTCACTCTCTCTCTCGCTCACAAATACACGCACGGACGCACCAACACACACACGCATGCACGCACACGCACACACACACACACACACACACACACACTAACTCTCTCTCAGACCAATCAGAGCCTTCAGCTTATTGTTGGACGTAATTAGTTCCATGGGAACGTGCAACAGCCTCACGCCTCATGGTCGATCACGTCAAGCACACGCCTGATCAAAGGCTTCAGGTCTCTAGAGCTCTCTGCTCCATTAACACAGAGAGGAACACTCTGTTTGGCTTCTTAACTCCAAATCTGTGCCCGTTTGAACAGACTTCTATGCGTCTGCTTAGTGTTTTCTAAGAGCTGTCTCTGAGGGTTAGTCTTAGTTTATCAGGACTGAGATTTAGGATGAAGAGCTAGTGAATCAGTAGGAGGACCAATTCCTCGTGCTCTTCCTCAATCATATAAACACTTCTGTTTCTAGGTGTTTCTGTTTCCATACAGCACACAAACACACATACTTGCGTCTTGACTGACCCATGTTTCAATAGGAAGGCTGCCTGTTTCTGTCACAGTGATGTCACCAGAAGTTAAAAAGTGAGAGGTTATTGTTAAGTTAATGTGATGTAAGAAACCTTCCAATCAGAGATTTAGAAAGAAAGGAAGAAGGATGAAGGAGGGGGAAATAAGGAAGGAGCAGAGGAAATGTATTTTTTGTATTTTTCAGTGCGAACAAAAGGTCCAATTAATGAACAGATTATAATTGCCCTCGTTTCCCCTACCCAATTAGGGGCTTAAACAACGTTCTCAGAGCGCAGCCAATCAGGGACCAGTGCTGTGTTTTAACGTCGGCAGGTAGCGAAGGCAGAAATTATAGCCGTCCACTTTGCTCTCTCTGGAGAGAAGCTTTTTCATTAAGCTCTAAGACTCGGCAGCGCTCGGTGCCGCTTCAAGTGACCTCAGGAAACTTGTGGAAAATTTGTACTCTAACTTCTACAGAGTTTATTACTGTAACATGGAGCTTTAGGGACTGGCTGGCTGTGGGAAAATGTTAGAAGATGTTTGAGGAGACTTTAGGAGACGTTTGAGCCACATTTAGCCACATTTGACATTTGAGCCTATTTACATTTACATTTTGGTCGTTTAGCAGACACTCTTATCTAGAGCGTCTTTCAGTCGGTGTATTCAACTAAGGTAGATAAAACAACCACATTCAGTACAGGAATTACAAGTAAGAACTTTCCTCATTAAAGCAGCATATTATCCTGGTCCCAGATCTGTTTGTGCTTTTGCTAACTCCATTGTCAAGCCAAACATGTTTTGTAAAACAATTCCATAAGGAGTTGGCAATGGCAAGAGAGCATATATATATATATATATATATATATATATAAACGTATTAAAAAAACAACATAAAGTGCTCTGTTAATGATAATTGGCACAAGGACTGTATGACCTAAAAGGACTGAATAGATTTTGAGTGAAAATGACAAGGCTCTGTCGTAGCCGGCCGTGACCGGGAGACCCATGGGGCGGCGCACAATTGGCCCAGCGTCATTCAGGGTAGGGGAGGGAATGGCCGGCAGGGATGTAGCTCAGTTGGTAGAGCATGGCGTTTGCAACGCCAGGGTTGTGGGTTCGATTCACATGGGGGGCCAGTATGAAAAATAAAAAATAAATAATGTATGCACTCAATAACTGTAAGTCGCTCTGGATAAGAGCGTCTGCTAAAAATGTAAATTACTCAAATGTAAATCTAAAATGTAAATGTAAGACTCATGTTGAAATTCTACTCATCATGTTACCATTGGGCACACCAGAGTCACATTGGCAAAAGGGAAATCCCCAAATCATCTGCTACCCTATGGATCCTCTTCAACATCATTGGATATGTAATCTTTCAAGATGACAATACAGTTTTGGAGCCCGGTCATGTTTGAAAGATCCCAGGGCTGTGTGTGTGTGGTAACATATGCCAGATGTTGAGCGTTACACTATATATACAAAAGTATGTGGACACCCCTTTAAAATAGTGGATTTGGCTATTTTAGCCACACCAATTGCTGACAGGTGTATAAAATCAAGCACACAGCCATGCAATCTTCATAGACAAACATTGGCAGTAGAATCGCCTTACTGAAGAGCTCAGTGATGCCACTTTTCTAACAAGTCAGTTCGTCAAATTTCTGCCCTGCTAGAGCTGCCCCGGTCAACTGTAAGTGCTGTTGTTGTGAAATGGAAACGTCTAGGCGCAACAACGGCTCAGCCGCGAAGTGGTAGGCCACACAAGCTCACAGAACGGGACCGCCGAGTGATGAAGCACGTAGTGTGTAAACATAGTTTGTCCTCGGTTGCAACACTCACTACCGAGTTCCAAACTACCTCTGCAAGCAACGTCAGCACAAGAACTGTTCGTCGGGAGCTTTATGAAATGGGTTTCCATGGCCGAGCAGCTGCAAACAAGCCTAAGATCACCATGCGCAATGCCAAGCGTCGGCTGGAGTGGTATAAAACTCACTGCCATTGGACTCTGGAGCAGTGGAAATGCGTTCTCTGGAGTGATGAATCACGCATCACCATCTGGCAGTCCGACGGACAAATCTGGGTTTGGCGGATGCCAGGAGAACGCTACCTGCCGAATGCATAGTGGCAATTGTAAAGTTTGGTGGAGGAGGAATAATGGTCTGGGGCTGTTTTTCATGGTTCGGGCTAGGCCCCTTAGTTCCAGTGAAGGGAAATCTTAACGCTACAGCATACAATGACATTCTAGACGATTCTGTGCTTCCAAGTTTGTGGCAACAGTTTGGGGAAAGCCCTTTTCCTGTTTCAGCATGACAATGCCCCTCTGCACAAAGCGAGGACCAACTGTTTTGAGCTGAAGTTCCCACTGACTTCTTAGTCAATAAGGTTCTGAGTTAAATAGGATCCATGTTTTTCAGGTGTAATCTAAACATCTGACTGGTATAAATAAAAGAGACGTGTGGCTCTCATTTGGTTGGAACAGTACTAGCAGGGTTGTGGGTTCAAAACCTGTCTGGGCCACATATAACCTACTAAATTCATGTTAACTGCAAGTGACTTGGATAAAAGCGTCCCTTAAAAGACCATATTTTATTAATGAATCGTTACCAGGAAATGTTTTGCTGTTGTTTTTGCCCTGTTTGCACTTTCAGTCGCTAAATGCGTTCATCCATTTGGTGTTCACTCTACTGTCTGGTCACAGAATGGAGGGGTGATGCACTGATACTCACATCCACTGGTCCCAGTATCTAGGCTGTACTGGTGTTAATTGTCTACTGGTGCAGCAGCACAAAGACAGACAGAACGACAGACAGACAGACAGCTGACTCTGGAGTGTGCAGACTGGGGAGAGAAAGAGAGACTGGTTGTCTTTTAAAGGCTGTGTTCAATTAACCATGAGAGAGATGGAGGGAAAGGAAGGAGAGAGAGAGGGAAAAGGATGAAAGGAGAGAGTGGGTGGGCAAGAAGAGGAAATGGAGAAGAAGAGAGGGAGAGTGAAGGTTAGAGAGAGAGAGGGGGGGGGGGGGGATTAAGAGACTGGTGTCCATTGAAGCCGGGACCGAGGCAGGAGTGGTGAGGGGAGGAGGGATGTCCCAAGTGAGGCATGATTTTCTGCTCGGACAGGCGTGGGTTCCGTGCATCGTCCCGGCAACCAAGTCACCAGCGGGGGAGGTTTTTTGCACGTCACTGAATGACCTTCATTCCTATTTTGCCAGGTACACTCAGAACACTCAGAAAGGGTTCAGAACTTTTTTTGAAACATCACAGTACAGTTGAAAAATATATGGCGAATAGAAATCCAATAAGGATGGTGTTAAGAGGTAGATGGGAGGTGTTGAATGGAGCTGAAGGATGGGACTAATAACAACTAACAACAACTAATAACAACATGATAACTAATGTAAAGCATACTGTGTCCATAATAAGTATATAGGTTATAGGTTGAGAGCTTTTGTGAAAGAGCAGTTAGAAAAATATGGCATATAGAAGCAAACCGGATGGACATCATGAAAATGAACGGAGAGGTTGAGGGTAGAGGAAGTTCAGGAGTAAAAACAAACAAAATAGAATTACTGACTGTGTCAATAAAATGTATATAGTATGTATAAGCTGGAAGTAGAGGTCTAAGCGTTGTTGTTCACTAGTTTACTCCAATTAGGGAAGGGGTGGTGGGGTTGGAAAGTAATAAAGGGAAATATATTTTTAAAAAGGATATGTATATATATGTATGTATATGTATTTATATATATGTATGTGTATATGTATGTGTATGTATGTATATGTATATATACTGGACATATATATTTGCGTGAAAAAAAAACCATATGGGGGATTGGAAGTGATGCAGACAATTACATTGATGGAAGTTACAATCTATCTGCAATATTAAAGCTGATCTACTCCCCCCCAAACAAAATAAATATATATATATATTGTCACCAGCGGGGGAGGTTTTTTGCACGTCACTAAATGACCTTCATTCCTATTTTGCCAGGTACACTCAGAATTTAACAGGGTCGGGTACACCACACACACACACACACACACACACACACACACACACACACTGCGTTCCAGTCTGGCAGGATTCGCTAAAAGCTTCCACTTGCCTTCCTATGTAGAAACAGCTCCAATGTGAGACTCTTCACACACCATAGTTCAATCAACCACAACTTTCTACTTCCTCTCCATCCGCAGCAAAGAGCCATTGATTAAGACCTTAATGTGGACAAAGTGATGAAAACTCATGTTCTCCTCAAAGTCCCCTTCGTTAAAGCCTGACAAGGGAGAATCTCTTTATGGTAATGATTTTAAAAGCTACCCTACTATTTTGTAAAAGGACTGCCCAAGTGAAGATTATCTTTCTCCTCTCCTCTCCTCTCCTCTCTCTCTCCTCTCTCTCTCTCTCTCTCTCTCTCTCTCTCTCTCTCTCTCTCTCTCTCTCTCTCTCTCTCTCTCCTCCTCTCTCTCTCTCTCTCTCTCTCTCTCTCCTCTCTCTCTTCTCTCTCTCTCTCTCTCTCTCTCTCTCTCTCTCTCTCTCTCTCTCTCTCTCTCTCTCTCTTTCTTTCTCAGGCTGTTTGTCATCTAAGGGGGAGGACAGGCTGTTCAGGAATTTATTCAGGAGATACAACCAGTTCATCAGGCCAGTGGAGAATGTCTCTGACCCTGTCACCGTGGAGTTTGAGGTCTCCATATCCCAATTGGTCAAAGTGGTGAGACTCACCTGCATCATTACTGGAGCAAATAAGGATATTACTTTGTCCTATTTATTTGACCGATTTACTTAATTACGTACATGCTATGACTTCATGTTCATATTATTTCAATTTCTTCTCAGGATGAAGTCAATCAGATTATGGAAACCAATCTATGGCTGAGACATGTAAGTCAAGTTATCTGATCTAAGAAGTTTAGTCTATACCCCTTAATACCCCCGTTAAAGCACTGTTAAAATCTTTGTTGCAGGTCTGGAATGACTACAAACTGAAATGGGTTCCCATTGAGTATGACGGACTTGAGTTCATTCGTGTGCCCTCCAATAAGATATGGAGGCCGGACATCGTCCTCTACAACAAGTGAGCTCAATCTCTTAACTCTGTACATTATTATGCAGGGGCGCAACTTTCACGAAATGGCATGTTTGTCCCCCCCAGTTTTATCATTGGGATGTGATACAAAACGAGGCAACGGTGTGCTTTAGGACCATGCAGACACCTCCGAGCGGTCGGGTAGGCTGTTTGGAGTGTTTATCCACCCACCTCTAAAACCAAAGTTGCGCCCCTGTTATTATGTTCTCTTGTTGCCCTTTAGCCATCAGTGCTAAATGCTATGCTAACCATCATCCATGATCGCCTCTCCAGTTCTAGGGGTGTTTTTATTAGCCATCACTGCTAAATGCTACGCTAACCATCACCCACTGTCTCCTCTCCAGTTCTGGGGGTGTTTTTTTAGCCATCAGTGCTAAATGCTACACTTATCACATTTCAGGAGACGACCCAGATGCAGACAGTGTTGAAGTAACAAAAGTTTATTACAAAAACAGGGGGCAGGCAAACGACAGGTCAAGGGCAGGCAGAGGTCAGTAATCCAGATCAGAGTCCAAAAGGTACAGAATGGCAGGCAGTCTCAGGGTCAGGGCAGGCAGAGGTCAATAATCCAGGGTGGTGTGACAAGGTACAGAATGGCAGGCAGGCTCAGGGTCAGGGCAGGCAGAATGGTCAAAACCGGGAAAACTAGAAAACAGGAACTTGAGAAAGACAGCAGCAAGGGGAAAAATGCTGGTAGGCTTGACGAAACAAAATAAACTGGCAACAGACAAACAGAGAACACAGGTATAAATACACTGGGGATAATGGGGAAGATGGGCGACACCCGGAGGGGGGTGGAGACAATCTCAAAGACAGGTGAAACAGATCAGGGTGTGACACTCTAACCATCACCCATTTTCTCATCTTCAGTTCTGGTGGTGTGTTTTTTTGCCATCAGTGCTAAATGCTATGCTATCATATCTCCCCTCTCTTCAGTGCTGTGGGAGATTTCCTGGTTGAGGACAAGACCAAAGCTCTGCTGAAGTTTGACGGCACCATCACCTGGATCCCCCCCGCCATCTTTAAATCCTCCTGCCCCATGGACATCACCTACTTCCCCTTCGACTACCAGAACTGCTCCATGAAGTTTGGCTCCTGGACCTACGACAAGGCCAAGATTGACCTGGTGCTCATAGGGTCAAAGGTCAGTAATCCCACTGGTTAGCTAGTTAACTAACTCGTTTGCTAGCTAGTTAGCCACATTAAATAAATGGGTTATATTTGTTGGTTAATTCAATGTGGCTGGCTTTATGGTTTTCTTTGTCAATTTCAACCAGAATTACTTTTTGTCTTTTTTATGACGTAATCTCAGTCGAAGCCCTCTTCATCTCCTTCTAGGATAGAACTCCTCTGGCTCTGCTTTATGGTTGACATACTACTGTCTCTCCATAGGTGAACCTCAAAGACTTCTGGGAGAGTGGCGAGTGGGAGATCATCGACGCACCGGGCTACAAACACGACATCAAGTACAACTGTTGCGAGGAGATCTACCCAGACATCACCTACTCCTTCTACATCAGACGCCTGCCTCTCTTCTACACTATCAACCTCATCATCCCCTGTCTCCTCATCTCCTTCCTCACCGTCCTCGTCTTCTATCTCCCCTCTGAATGTGGAGAGAAGGTGACCCTCTGTATCTCCGTCCTCCTGTCGCTCACTGTGTTCCTCCTGGTCATCACTGAGACCATCCCGTCTACGTCTCTGGTCATCCCTCTCATCGGGGAGTACCTCCTCTTCACCATGATCTTCGTCACCCTCTCCATCGTCATCACTGTGTTCGTGCTGAACGTCCACTACCGTACGCCTATGACCCACACCATGCCGGCCTGGGTCAGGTCTGTGTTCCTGGGGTTGCTGCCCAAGGTGATGCTCATGAGGAGGCCTGTAGACCAGGGCTGCCCCTCCTCCGTGGGGAGTGGGAGAGGAGATGGAACAGGAGGGGGGAGTATTGGAGATGGGGGGTGTAGGAGGAGGAGGAGCGAGTGGAACGGGGAAGAAGAGGAAGAATAGCATTGGGGGAGGAATAGGGGGCGGGTGTGTGCAGGTGGACGGGGGTGCGGTCACCGCCGAAAGGGGGCAGGTGGGAGCGATGAACTGTGTGGAGTCCGGCGAAGTGCAGAACAAGCCTAATTTCCCCTGTAAGGGGAAAGAGGTGCCCATCGCCACTGTACCCCCGGTGGTGCCCCTTCCTGCCCCCTCTGAGCCGGACCTACCCAAACTGCCCCGAGCGCTCAACACCCCACCCAACGTCAATGCAGTGGTGGCCTTCTCTGTGGTGTCACCAGAGATCAAACAGGCCATCGAGAGTGTCAAGTACATCGCTGAGAACATGAGGACACGCAACAAGGCCAAAGAGGTAGCTTTGGGTTATTACGTAGTTTTACAGAGTGAAATGCTTTTCCATAAAGAGTGACCTAAGACAACAACACAGCATGGCAGCAACACAACATGACAAAAACATGGTAGCAACACAACATGGCAGCAGCACAACATTGTAGCAGCACAAAGATGGTACAGATATTGTAGGCACAGAAAACACAAAGGGCAAAAAGGTAGAGACAATGATACATTACACGAAGCAGCCACAAGTGTCAGTAAGGGTATCCATGATTGAGTCTTTGAAAAGTCGTGGTCAAAAGTTTTGAGAATGACACAAGTATTGGTCTTCACAAAGTTTGCTGCTTCAGTGTTTTTAGATATTTTTGCCAGATGTTACTATGGTATACTGAAGTATAATTACAAGCATTCCATAAGTGTCAAAGGCTTTTATTGACAATTACATTAAGTTTATGCAAAGAGTCAATATTTGCAGTGTTGACCCTTCTTTTTCAAGACCTCTGCAATCCGCCCTGGCATGCTGTCAATTAACTTCTGGGCCACATTCTGTGCCACATCCTGACTGATGGCATAATCAATGCTTGGAATTTGTCCGAATTTGTGGGTTTTTGTTTGTCCACCCGCCTCTTGAGGATTGACCACAAGTTCCCAATGGGATTAAGGTCTGGGGAATTTCCTTGCCACTTTTGCCTTATGGCAAGGTGCTCCATCATGCTGGAAAAGGCATTGTTCGTCACCAAACTGTTCTTGGATGGTTGGGAGAAGTTGCTCTCTGAGGATGTGTTGGTACCATTCTTTATTCATGGCTGTGTTCTTAGGTAAAATTGTGAGTGAGCCCACTCCTTTGGCTGAGCAGCAACCCAACACATGAATGGTCTCAGGATGCTTTACTGTTGGCATGACACAGGACTGATGGTAGCGCTCACCTTGTCTTCTCTGGACAAGCTTTTTTCCGGATGCCCCAAACAATCGGAAAAGGGATTCATCAGAGAAAATGACTTTACCCCAGTCCTCAGCAGTCCAATCCCTGTACCTTTTGCAGAATATCAGTCTGTCCCTGATGTTTTTCCTGAAGTGGCTTCCTCGCTGCCTTTCTTGACACCAGGCCATCCTCCAAAAGTCTTCGCCTCACTGTGCGTGCAGATGCACTCACACCTACCTGCTGCCATTCCTGAGCAAGCTCTGCACTAGTGGTGCCCCGATCCCGTAGCTGAATCAACTTTAGGAGACGGTCCTGGCGCTTGCTGGACTTTCTTGGGCGCCCTGAAGCCTTCTTCACAACAATTGAACCTCTATCCTTGAAGTTCTTGATGATTCCGATAAATGGTTGATTTAGGTGCAATCTTACTAACAGCAATATCCTTGCCTGTGAAGCCCTTTTTGTGCAAAGCAATGATGACGGCACGTGTTTCCTTGCAGGTAACCATGGTTAACAGAGGAAGAACAATGATTTCAAGCACCACCCTCCTTTTAAAGCTTCCAGTCTGTTATTCTAACTCAATCAGCATGACAGAGTGATCTCCAGCCTTGTCCTCGTCAACACTCTCACCTGTGTTAACGAGAGAATCTCTGACATGATGTCAGCTGGTCCTTTTGTGGCAGAGCTTTTTGGGGGATTTTCAATGGCGAAGAGGGACTTTGCAATGAATTGCAATTCATCTGATCACTCTTCATAACATTCTGGAGTATATGCAAATTGCCATCATAAAAACTGAGGCAGCAGACTTTGTGAAAATTAATATTTGTGTCATTTTCAAAACCTTTGACCACGACTGTAGAGATGGAGATAAAACTGTCCAGATGTAGTGTTTTTCGCAGCTCTTTCCAGTCACTAGCTGCAGCAAACTGAAAAGAGGAGCAACCCAGGAATGTGTGTGCTTTGTGGACCTTTAACAGAATGTGACTGGCATAGCGGGTGTTGTATGTGGAGGATGAGGGTTGCATTAGGTATCTCAGATAGGGGGGGTGAGGCCTAAGAGGGTTTTATAAATAAGAATCAAACAGTGGGTCTTGCACCGGGTATACAGAGATGACCAGTTTACAGAGGAGTAAAGAGTGCAGTGATGTGTCCTGTGAGGAGCATTGGTGGCAAATCTTTGGCCAAATGGTAAAGAACATCTAGCCGTTTGAGACCACCCGTACCTGCCGATATATAAATTACATCTCCGTAATCTAGCATGGGTAGGATGGTCAACTGAATCACGATTAGTTTGGCAGCTTGGGTGAAAGAGGAGCAATTACGATAGAGGAAACCAAGTCTAGATTGAACCTTAGCCTGCAGCTTGGATATGTGCTGAGAGAAAGACAGTGTACTGTCTAGCCATACTCCCAAGTACTTGTATGAGGTGACTACCTCAAGCTCTAAACCCTCAGATGTAGTAATCACACCGGTGGGGGGATTCTTCTTACCGAACCACATTACCTTTATTTTGGAAATGTTCAGAACAAGGTTAAGGGCAGAGAAAGCTTGTTGGACACTAAGAAAGCTTTGTTGTAGAGTGTTTAACACAAAATCCGGGGAGGGGCCAGCTGAGTATAAGACTGTATCATCTGCATATAAATGGTTGAGAGAGCCTCCTACTGCCTGAGCTATGTTGTTGATGTAAATTGAGAAGGATCGAGCCTTGGGGTGTCCCTTGGTGACAGGCAGTGGCTGAGACAGGAGGTGTTCTAACTTTACACACTGCACTCTTTGAGAGCGGTAGTTAGCAAACCAGGCCAAAGACCCCTCAGAGACACCAATACTCTTTAGCCACCCACAAGAATGGAATGGTCTACCGTATCAAAAGCTTTGGCCAAGTCAATACAAATACCAGCACAACATTGCTTAGAATCAAGGGCAGCGGTGACATCATTTAGGACCTTTTCGATTGCAGTGACACATCCATAACCTGAGCAGAAACCAGATTGCATACCAGAGAGAATACTATAGACATCAAGAAAGCCAGTCAAGTTTTTCCAACAACATAAACAGGGCAAGATAGAAATGGACCTATAACAGTTAGGATCAGCTTGATCTCCACCTTTAAATAAAGGATGCACCATGGCTGCCTTCCAAGCACTGGGAACCTCCCCAGAGAGGAGAGACAGGTTAAAAAGGTGAGAGATAGGCTCGGCGATGATAGGGGCAGCAACCTTAAAGAAGAAAGGAACTAAACCATATAATATATAATATGCCATTTAGCAGACGCTTTTATCCAAAGCGACTTACAGTCATGTGCATAACATTTATTTTTACGTATGGGTGGTCCCGGGGATCGAACCCACTACCCTGGCGTTACAAGCACCACGCTCCACCAATTGAGCTACAGAGGACCACCATCTGACCCAGATGTTTTTTTGGGGTCAAGTTTAAGGAGCTCCTTTAGGACCTCAGACTCAGTGACCGCCTGTAGGGAGAAGCTGTGTAGCAGGGCAGGGGAAAAAGAGGGAGGAGCATCATGGCTAGTCGCATTAGAAAGGCTGGGAGATGAGGAAATGTTGGACGGGCAAGGAGGCATGGCTGAGCCAAATAGGAATCCTGACTTAATGAGGTGGTGATTAAAGAGCTCAGCCATACGCTCCTTGTCAGTAACAACCACATCATCAACATTAAGGGACATGGGCAGCTGTGAGGAGGAGGGTTTATTCTCCAGGTCTTTCACCATTTTCCAGAACTTATTGAGGTTAGACCCACAGAGAGAGAACTGCTTTTTAAAGTAACTAACTTTGGCCTCCTGGAGAGCCTGAGTGCACTTATTTCTCATTTGCCTGAACGATAGACAGTCAGCCTGAATATTTGTGTGCCGAGCCAAAAAAGAAGGTCCAAGTATCTTTTACAGAGGGGATCAAGCTGATTCTATACCAATTTACAGAGGCCAGGTCATGAAGGAAGGTTTGCTCATTAACGTTTTTCAACAAGAATCAGGACAGGTTGTTTAACTGAGCAGCCATTACGAACACAGGCCATAAAACAGTGATCACTAAGGTCATTACAGAAAACACCAGACTGATACGTATCAGGATTATTTGTGAGGATAACATCAAGGAGAGTAGCCTTTTCTGGGTGTTTGGAGTCCTACTTTGTGGTATTGTTAATAGTCTGAGCGAGATTTAGTGAGTCCCATTGCTTTAAGACTTGCTCAGGTGGTTTAAGCATGTCCCAGTTTAGCAGGACAAATTCAGACTTAGTGTAAGGGGCCAGGAGAGAGCTTAGGGCAGGTAGGGTACAGGCCGGTGCTGATGGTGGACGATAACACCCAGCAACAGTCAACAAAGAGCGATTAGATAGCTTAATGCTTAAAACCAGAAAATCAAATTGTTTGGTGACAGACTTGGTGGAGACAACCGAGCACTGAAAGTGTTCCTTGGTAGATTGCTACTCCAACACCTTTGGAAGATCTGTCTTGCCGAAAAATGTTATAACCAGAAAGGTTAACATCAGTGTTCAGAACACTCTGGTGCAGGGGTACCTGTACCAGACGGGGAGACAAGCCAGGGCAGACGGGGAGCAGATCGTCGGGTGGGATCCAAGCAGCAGTGCAGCCGGCAATGGGAAAAGGTGTCACACCCACTTGGGAGAAGCCTTTGTCGGGAGGCTGAGTAGGAGAGGAGGCATTCAACCTTACAAGACAGGTTCATGTTGGAGCAGATAAAAACGTCCAAAGCGAAAAGCTGAACGAAAAATGTGGTGCGAAGAAAAAACCAAGACGCTGGTAAAAACGCTATATTCCAAAGCCAGATCAAACAGCAATTAAAGTTATTGGTTATTACATCGTTATTAGCGAGTTACCTGTTCAAATCAAATCAAATCAAATTGTATTGGTCACATGCACATATTTAGCAGATGTTATTGCGGGTGTAGCGAAATGCTTGTTCTTCAGTTATTGGTTATTACATCGTTATTAGAGAGTTACTTGTTCTTCAGTTATTGGTTATTACATAATTATTAGAGTTACCTGTTCTTCAGTTATTGGTTATTACATTGGTATTACAGAGTTACCTGTTCTTCAGTTATTGGTTATTACCAAGTTATTACACAGTAACTACAGAGAAATGTTCTGCAATGTAAGTCTCTGTGAGCAAAGGTTTTGGATTACATCCCTAATAGGGAACTGAAGAAAGCAGAAGGATTTCCTTGTCATTCTCTGTATTGCAGCTTGTCCAGTGGAAGTGGTATATAAAATACAAGCAGTTTTTGGACTTCAGCTAAATGAAATGACCAAATGTGCTGGGCCATGCACTCTTGAAATTCCACAGCCATGCACACAGTCATACACACACACACACACACACACACACACACACACACACACACACACACACACAACTAGGCTTGGGCCGTATCCAGATTGTCATACCTTCAAACTGACCTTGTGCCATATCGGGATATTCGGTAATAACGGCACTGAACACAAGGGGCACTGTTTTCAAACCCCACTGATACTCTGTAATCTGAAGGTTAGCAATTCTAACAAGTACATGTAAAATCCCATAGAGAATGCTAACTAAATGCTAACGAGCGCATTGCTAACATTTTCTACAGTTTCTGACCTAAACTATACAAGTATACAAGTAACTCAAAAATGATACTCACAATCTGCTAATGTATTGCACAAGTTGACTGCAGGTATTTACTTAAAATGTAGCTACAAATATTAACATTTATTTAAAAAACTTCAAAGAAATGGTTTCAATGTTATTGACAGTATTGAAAAACCATCCCGTGGCTTTTTCCAAATACCCCAGTATACGGTATATATTCTTACACACCCAGACACAAACAGACACAACTGAGGCAGTGTATTATTTGATAGAGTGCAGAACTCCATGGGGTATTATTCCTGGTTTCTACCTGGTTTAATCTAAACTGTTAAACCCTTTTACATGCAGTATAAAGCTGTTTGTGAGACAGCTGTTTGAGAGAGAGCTTTAGTAGGCTTCTCTCTCTCTCTTTGTCTCTTTCTCTCTCTCCCCGCTCTCTCTCTCTCTCTCTCTCTCCTCTTCTATCTCTCTGCAGCTGGCTTATAAGCTTGTTGCTCAGTCCTTTCTTAGTATTTTCTTAGTAAATCCTGAGTTCAGTATTGAAATGATGCACACAGAATAGCCATACACCCTTCTGGAGACTTCACCCTATAACCCTATAACCAGTGGACCACAGCAGGTTGCTTCAGGAAAACACACGTGCCTGGAACACATGTGCCTGTCAAGAAAAACACACACCTGGCCTGACCCAATCATGCTATATGCTATAGGGGCTCAATGAATACTGTTTTTTCTCTCTCTCTCTGACTCCTTCGGTCTGTCCCGTTCTCTCGCTCTCTCTCTCTCTCTCTCTCTCTCTCTCTCTCTCTCTCTCTCTCTCTCTCTCTCTCTCTCTCTCTCTCTCTATATATATATATATATATATATATATATATATATATATATATTTCTCTCTCTCTCTCTCTCTCTCATTCTTCGTCTTTCTCCTTTTCTCACACATCCTAATTTGCATATTCCTTGCGGAGGAACACAGCGTCGACATCCTTTAGCACAGTGATCCTCACAACATTTTCAGAAAGGTCAATGATGTGTTTACACAATAAGTCTGTAAGAGAAAGAGAGAGAAGGAGAGAGATAGAAAGGGAGAGAGAGAGTGTATTTATTAATTCCCTTTTGAACCTTTCCTCAGATCACTTTCCTTCTTTGTCTTACGATATTTCTTATTGCCTTCAATGACCTGTGCTACCCTGTCTTCTGACGAGCTCCTTCTTCCCTCTCTTTTCTCTCTCTCTCTCTCTCTCTCTCTCTCTCTCTCTCTCTCTCTCTCTCTCTCTCTCTCTCTCTCTCTCTCTCTCTCTCTCTCTCTCTCTCTCCAGGTGGAAGATGACTGGAAGTACGTAGCGATGGTGATTGACAGGATCTTCCTGTGGGTGTTTGTGACTGTGTGTATCACTGGAACTCTGGGACTGTTCCTTCAGCCTCTCATCGGCTTCTTCACATGAACCACTACTCCTTTCTCCTTTATTGTCTTTCTGTCTCCGTTATCCTCTCATTCTCACCAATCTTGCTTTTGTCCATTCTCTCCCTCTCACTTCCATTACTTATTTCCTATTCTACTGGCATCTACTGTCTTCCGGTCCAAAAGCAGGTAAAACTATGAAAAAGACAGCAGTCCAATTTATTAAACATACCTCATTGTAACCATTGATTTACTGTGTGGCCCTATTGTTGGGACCACTGCATTGCCATCTACATTACTACCCATTGATTATGCCAGTAGAGAAGTTGGTTCTTGTTCTAGACATGGTGCCAAACGGATCTAGAATCTGTAGCTCTGTGCTGTATGTACTCAGTGACTGAGTGAAGGAGTAACTAGTTGATACCTCTTTCTTACTTTACATGTTATGATACTGTAGTCTACTGATTTGTTTATGATACCAATCTGTAATATCTTCAATCCTGTGCTATGTTTAGGGCTAGGAGTATTTCCTTACCATGAACAACTCTATAGGAAATACTCCTGGCCTGAGTTATACTGTATATACAACATATATATACTATGCATGATTTATGATGCTGATTTTGAATATGGTTTCTGTACAGGCATGGTCGTGTGACTTTAACATCATTCTCATAAATATATCATGATAACATGTTTGCATCTCACACTGGGGTTGACACAACATTCAATGTAAATGTAGCAACCGTAAAGAGACACTGAAATGTACGCTGTAGAGTAGCCTTTACACTTGTACCAGTATATGGGTTGGAAATTGCAGATTTGGTCACTGATAAGTGGCTAAATTGGAACGCAGTGGCTGTACAGTAACATGCTATAAATGACGTCAGAGCTCAGGTTCTGTGCTTCACAGCTCTGTATGGGTTTGGACTGACAGCCGTTCTGAACTAGAGCACCTCGCGCGACAAGATGTTGCCGCCATCCCTCCCGCTAATTGGGCAACTTTTGCACATTTGTTGTTGTCTGAGTGAGGGAAATGCTGTGAATTAAGAGGACGTTGAGGATTATAATAAATACCGCTTTGATGTCATACAAGCTAGCCAAACACCCCGTGAGTCCAAATGTGCACTTCACATTTCCATATCATAAAACTCATGTCATATCACTATGTTTGATGTACAGTTACAAGATGACATGGCGTCCTACCCTGGGTTGTTCTGAACAGAATGAGCCTATGTTTGTCTATTATGAAGAAAATTTGCCGTGGCACACACACCTGATGCACTCATGACTCCTTTCTATGCACACCAAAATAATGATCTGTTTCCCTGAATTGCGTTGTGAAAGTCTAACACTGTAATATCATATTTTATAACTTAGCTAGTCATGTTGGCAATAGAACAAGCTTTCATGTTATGCCCACCTGACCCAGATAGTGATTTATTGTGGACCTTTTTTGGATTGCGTAAACAACTACTGTAATTGTGTGATGGTGGGGATGCAGGGTTGTGTTCCAAACAAAACAACTACAATTGTGCTTGTGCTCAATGGCACAGCTAGGAGTGCTCAGAAAAAGCACCTCATAGTTGAAGACTCTTCTTTGAGTCATAAAAGTGCATTCAAATTACTTAGGAACTGTGCACACTTTGGAGAGGTGTGTGGCCACTTGGAGACACCAGTTAGTCCTCTCAGTCAAAGCCTTGTAATTGTTTTGTCTTATGTTACACCTACCCCACATTTTCGAGGAATCTTCTAATCATGTTACTGAATGTATCAGATTTCATTATCAACAAATGTGGCGAAAAGTACAGTAAATGTAAATGCACATAAAATCAACAGTGTAATGTTTGGATTCAGTCATGTGTCAGGTGAACGGTTGCGTCCTCACCTTTGGTCTACTAATTTCCCCATAATCCCCAAACTGTTCCCTTTAAATTGCTTCCATGGTTATGCATTTCATATTTCTTCTGTAAGAAACATTTCAAATGTAGCCCTATCCATATAGTCCAATTCCCACGAGTGTAAAGGGTTCAAACCTCTCAGTAAAATTATTTAAAAAGCCAAGCCTGTCTGGTTGCTTTCATTGACAAGTGCCTTCAGAAAGTATTCATACCCCTTGACTTATGTTTTGTTACAGCCTGAATTGTAAAATGATTAAATCGATTTTTCTCACCCATCTACACACAATACCCCATAATGACAAAGTGAAAACATGTTTTTAGAAATCTTTGCAAATGTATTCCATTTACATAAGTATTCACACCCCTGAGTCAATCATTTGTAAAAGCACCTTTGGCAGCGATTACAGCTGTGAGTCTTTCTGGGTAAGTCTCTTAGAGACTGTAAAATTGGTTGTTGATCATTGCTAGACAACCATTTTCAGGTCTTGCCATAGATTTTCAAGTAGATTTATGTCAAAACTGTAACTAGGCCACTCAGGAACATTCACTGTCTTCTTGGTAAGCAACTCCAGTGTAGATTTGGCCTTGTGTTTTAGGTTATTGTCCTGCTGAAAGGTGAATGAATCTCCCAGTGTCTGGTGGAAAGCAGACTGAAACAGGTTTTCCTCTAGGATTTTGCCTGCGCTTAACTCCATTCTGTTACTTTTTTTATCCTGAAAAACTACCCAGTACTTAACAATTACAAGCATACCCATAACATGATGCAGCCGCCACTATGCTTGAAAATATGGCGAGTGGTACTCAGTAATGTGTTGTATTGGATTTGCCCCAAACATAACACTTCATTCAGGGAAGAAAGTTAATTGCTTTGCCACATTTTTTGCAGTATTACTTTAGTGCCTTGTTACAAACAGGAAGCATGTTTTGGAATATTTTGTATTCTGTACAGGTGTTCTTCTTTTCAACTCTGTCAATTAGGTTAGTATTGTGGAGTAACTACAATGTTGTTGATCCATCCTCAGTTTTCTCCTATCACAGCCATTAAACTCTGTAACTGTTTTAAAATCCCCATTGGTTTCATGGTGAAATCCCTGAGCGGTTTCCTTCCTCTCCGGCAACTGAGTTAGGAAGGATGCCTGTATCTTTGTAGTGACTGGGTGTATTGATACACCATCCAAAGTGTAATTAATATTCACCATGCTCAAAGGGATAATCAATGTATGTTTTTTTTTTTTACCCATCTTCTAATAGGTGTCCTTTACGAGGCATTGGAAAACCTCCCTGGTCTTTGTGGTTGAATATCTGTGTTTGAAATTCACTGCTCGACTGCGGGACCTTACAGATCATTGCGTGTGTGGGGTACAGAGATGTGGTAGTCATTCAAAAATCATGTTAAACACTATTATTGCACACAGAGTGAGTCCATGCAACTTATTATGTGACTTATTAAGCACATTTTTACTCCTGAACTTATTTAGGCTTGCCATAACAAAGGAGTTGAATACTTATTCACTCAAAACATTTCAGCTTTTCATTTTTTATTAATTTGTAAACATTTCAAAAAACATTATTCTACTTTGATATTATGGGGTATTGTGTGTAAGTCAGTGACAAAAAAAATACATTTAATCCATTTAAAATTCAGTCTGTAACACAATAAAATGTGGGAAAAATCAAGGGGCGTAAATACTTTCTGAAGGCACTGTAAGTGTATTAATATGACTGTTATAATAACTATGACTGGGGATAAGTGGAAAATCACCCTCTGCTTTTCAGAAATGAAGTGGGCCTTTCATGAGTGTGGGTATTGCCGGCAGGCTCTGATGTGTGTATGTTATGTGAACGTGTGTGTGTGTGTGTGTGTGTGTGTGTGTGTGTGTGTGTGTGTGTATGTGTGTGTTTATGTGTGTTGTTGCCCATAGGCAGTATCCGCTCTGGGGACAAACAGGGTTAATGATGGGATGAAAGGAGTTAATCCTTTGGGGCAGATGGAGGGAGAGAGGAAAAGTGAACTCATGGATGGAAGGTAGTTTAGTGGAGGGTAGTTTAGTGGAGGGTAGTTTAGTAGAGGGTAGTTTAGTGGAGGGTAGTTTAGTGGAGGGTAGTTTAGTGGCGGGTAGTTTAGTGGCGGGTAGTTTAGTAGAGGGTAGTTTAGTGGAGGGTAGTTTAGTGGAGGGTAGTTTAGTAGAGGGTAGTTTAGTAGAGGGTAGTTTAGTAGAGGGTAGTTTAGTGGAGGGTAGTTTAGTGGAGGGTAGTTTAGTGGCGGGTAGTTTAGTAGAGGTCAGTTTAGTGGAGGGTAGTTTAGTAGAGGGTAGTTTAGTAGAGGGTAGTTTAGTAGAGGGTAGTTTAGTAGAGGGTAGTTTAGTAGAGGGCAGTTTAGTAGAGGTCAGTTTAGTAGAGGGCAGTTTAGTGGAGGGTAGTTTAGTAGAGGGCAGTTTAGTAGAGGGCAGTTTAGTAGAGGGCAGTTTAGTGGAGGGTAGTTTAGTGGAGGGTAGTTTAGTGGAGGGTAGTTTAGTAGAGGGTAGTTTAGTAGAGGGTAGTTTAGTAGAGGGTAGTTTAGTGGAGGGTAGTTTAGTGGAGGGTAGTTTAGTAGAGGGTAGTTTAGTAGAGGGTAGTTTAGTAGAGGGTAGTTTAGTAGAGGGTAGAGAATAAAGGGAGAGACTCAGAGGAGGGAGAGAGTATTCCTGAGCTCACAGCCCTAATTTTCATAAACTATCTCGTTAGTTTCTAACTTGTGTACCTTTGTAAACCTATTCACGGTCCAGGGTTTGGACACCCCTTGTATAGATGCGGATCCAGTGGAGGGTAGGGGATAGAGGGATAGAGGGAGAGGAGACAGTGAAGGCTTGATGACATGGGGAGTTAACTACAGTCATATAGGAATTACCAGGGGCTTATTAATAATGTCATGCTGGTTTTAATGAGTCATTTCTGTGTCCCTGTCTGAGAGACTCTGGGCCGAGCAGCCACTGGAGTTACATCAATATGACCCCTGTTAGTGCTCCAATGTCACGCACACACACACGCAAACACACACACGTGCACACACACACGTGCACTCACACACTTCAGAGCAAAAAGCATGGCGAAGCATTTTCTGTAAACCCATTTTCTTCTTCTTTGATATTTATCCCTCGCT